GGTGGGACATGCAAAGAGACCGCACTCACCAGAAGGTTTCCAACAAAATGCAAAGTTCCTGGGCACGTCCAAGGGCAAAAACAGGGATGAGAACCTGCAATTGAGGGATGATTTAGTCTGTGAAAGCCAGACTGTGTGTAAATGGTTATCAGTCCTGAACAAGTCCCTCTCACTGTCTGACACTCTCTTTCCTTTCCACAGCTGAGGTACTGAAGCATCATTTACTGGGTGCTAAGTGTGCATCTTCCCTGCACTTGGAGGGGCTTATGGTAACAAAACAGTGCTGAACACCATGCAGCAGGATACTGAACAGACCTGGCTACACTGGAGGGCATTCCTGATCAAGTTTAAAAGCAGTAACTGACCAGTCATAGTTCCTTCATTTACAGGACCAAGAGGATGTTTCAGGGTTCAGATGCAGACTAGTTTTGCCTTTATATCTGCAGACTAAGCACTGCATTTCCCTTCCTGCCTCACGAACTCAGTCTGGTTTCCTCTCGGTGTAGTTTAAGTGTTCAATAGTCTCCATTTTAAAATACAGATGGAGAAATACAGAAATGCCTTGTTTCAGGTAGTGGTCTCATGTAGGTGCCCAAGTTAATCAGTAGGCAACAAGAGCTTCACAAAGGAAAACCCACCCCACTTAGGTTATCAACCCTCGGTACCTTTCCTCCTCTTTCCACAGTCTCATGAACTTTCTTCAGGAAGTCTCTTTCTCTGCAGCGTTTGGAGTCTCTGATGGTTGTGGCATAGGTGGATTCAGTGATAAGTAAATCTGGGCGACACTTATCGATCCAGGCAGCACTAGAACAAGAGCAATTCAAGCAAATGAAGAGCTGGTATCTGGCATTTCTGAGCCACGGAGAACGGCGCAGGCTCATCTGCAGACGAGAACAGGTACGCAGATGTGCATCAGCCTGCCCAGTCACAGAACAGACTTGACTTGCAAAGCCAGTCTTCTCCAGGCTATTACTTGCTTTAAATGCATTAAAATAATACTCTAAATATCACTAATAATATAAATCTCCCATATATAGCAGTAAAATTAAATGAACATCAAAGTTTCTGATTGGCACTCTAAAAACTAAACACATTTAGAAGACATCATGACCAGAAGTGTTTTAAACACAGAAGTCCAATTATTATGCAGCCTTAAAAATGTATTATTATGATGATACAGAAGAAGTTTACATTAAGGTCCTTGTGGAAGACTCAATGCAATCCGTTCACTAAATGTTCCAGTCTCCTAACAAAGAGTGCTGAAAGCCCCTGGTATGAACAGAACACAGCAATACCCACAATTCAGCAACTCAGCTTCCTACTTACCCTAAATGTCTGTCTGGTGTCATGTTATAATCACCCTAATGGAAGAGGAGAAATCCATTAATATTCTCTAAGTAGTGACACAGGGCATTAGAAGGGCTCTGTATTTAGCTGTACATACTCACAGTGTACACGACTGACTCGCACCCAACCTTGATCTGGAACATGGCTGCTCCCAGCACGTGGCCTGCGTAGTAGGCCTTGATCTCCAGCTCCTCATCCACCTGCACCCGGAGGCAAACACTGTGTTAGTGCAAACACCTTGGAGAAACCCAAACCTGCCCTGCCTTCCCCAACCACCCAGCTGGTACGACTCACGAGGGTGCAGAAGCCATCCCTCACCTGCACTGTCTGGTGCAGATGCACAGCAACCACTTTTTTCATGCAGTCTTTAATCATTTGGGAAGTGAAGAAGTTGGTTTCCCCTTTCTTGTCTACAGTAATTTTCCTGTAGTCCTCCAGCAGGATGGGGCAGATGGCCTTGGTAGGATGTGTCATGTAAATGGGCCCATCGTAACCCACCATCTCACTGAAATAGGGTAAAGCTCCACAGTGGTCCAGGTGGAAGTGGCTGCAAAAAGACACAGAGGATAAGGGGGATGCACAGGAACCCAGCCTGCCTGGCTCTTGGATCGCCAGGTTTTTAAATGGCCAAATGTCAGTGATCAGCTCACAACACGCTTGGGTTGCTAGGGACAGTGCCCAAAGCTTTCCCATTTCCCATGTGAGCTCTGACAGGGAAGGCAGGCAGCTGTCTCACCTGATGATCACGCAGTCTAGGAAGTCCGTCAGCCTCCCATTCTGGGTGATGTAGGAGAAGTCAGGAAAGCGCCTCTGCAGAGACATGAAAAAACAGGTTATCCATTATAATACAAACCCAGCTACTACCACATTACTAACCCAACACAACCACCACGTGTAACCCAACACAACCACCACGTGTAACCCAACACAACCACCACGTGTAACCCAACACAACCACCACATGTAACATGACTGGGTGTAACCCAACACAACAACCATGTGTACCCCAACACGACTGTGTGTAACCCAACCCAATAACTATGCATAACCCAACACAACAACCATGTGTAACCCAACATGACTGTGTGTACCCCAACACAATGACTGTGTGTACCCCAACACAACTTGTGTGTACCCCAACATGACAACCGTGTGTACCCCAACACGACAACCGTGTGTACCCCAACACGACAACCGTGTGTACCCCAACACGACAACCGTGTGTACCCCAACATGACAACCATGTGAATGACCCGAAACACTGGGAACGTGCTCTATGGAGCATTTATGTGCAGAGAGAGTCAAGGAACAGGACAGGGGCGACCAGAGGAGAGACCTTGCAAACAATCAATCACAGCCAGGTTTATGTTCCAGGTAACAGAGGTGACCAATGCTTCAGCTCACCCATGGGCACTACGGCAGGAAGCCTCCAAACCTTGCCTATAGTGGCACAGTTGCTTTAACTCTATCTCACCTTACACAATAGTTTTGCCATTATTCCAGGCAATACCAGCTGACCGAATATCAGGAGTTATTTCCCAGCTCTCTCTAAAGCATCAGAGATGGTGGTGCAGACCCCACAAGTAATTCACTGCCCATAACCAAGCATCATGTTAAGAGCAGTCTAACTACTGACAGCAGTAATGCTTTCAAGCATAGAAGGTGCCTGCCCACGTGAAATACAGAAAGACCCAAGCCACCTGGAATGCAGCATCCACAGCCCAGGGAAAGGGTGGCTGGATGATGGCACTTCACAGCCCAGGAATACACGAAGGGATGCACCTCTTGCACAGAAGGTTCTGAAGGGGCAACAGTTCATTCTCTGCCATAACTCAGCTCCAGCAGTGGCTGGTAACAGCCCAGGGACACCCACCCTGCTCTTGTCACCCCTGTGTCACACCGGATGAGCCAGGCAGTGCTCAAGTAAAAGGGAATAACAGCGGAACACTGACCCAGGAGCTGGGAACAGGCAGGCACATGCACCTGGAGAGCATCTCTCCACCTAATCCAGGCTTCTCGGTACTCACATCATCGTTGTAGCCCATGTGCATCCCGCAGTCCAGCATGACGTTCTTCCCGGCAATAGACACGAGGATGCAGCTGCGGCCCACATCCTGCCCAGCTCCTGGACCAGACACAAGAAACCTCTGCTGTAGCTGCAGTCACTTCAGCAAAGCAGCACTAAAGGTCCATGAGAACCTCGTGGCCCTTTCCCAGTGCAGGAAAAGGCTCCGTCCCTTTTTCCGAGCAGCGGATCTGCCAGAGGGCAGCAAATGTGAGCTGGTTTGTCCCATTTATCCCATGGGCTCACAAGAGACCGCCCAGTTCCAAACCTGCAGTAAATGCAGACATGGATCCAGCCCGGAGCAGTTCAATGCAGGACGTGGCTGCTCTCTGCCCACCGCTCACAGCTGCACCACTTCAAGAGCAGCGTTTAGGATGGAACTCGAGGCTCCCAGGGCTCTGCACCTCCCCAGGGACTCTGACTCCCACCGCAAGCACCAGAGACCTTCATCAACCTCCAGTTATGCCCATACCAAGCTGGAAAGCTGCCTGTGAGGATACAGCAGCACATCCTCTGCCCTCTCAGTACGTGACTGTATCCCAACAGATTCCATGAAACCCATAAAGGAAAAAAGGGGGGGGGGGGAGAGAGCAATGTGCTTCCTGTGGCTCTTCAGCACTGTTCAGTGACTGAATTACCTGTTCTGTACAACACATTGACTCCTTTCCTAGTGCATATTAATCATAGAACAGTCAGGGTTGGAAAGGACCTTAAGATCATCCAGTTCCAACCCCCTGCTATGGGCAGGGACACCTCACACTAAACCATCCCACCCAAGGCCTCGTCCAACCTGGCCTTGAACACTGCCAGGGATGGAGCATTCACAACCTCCCTGGGCAACCCATTCCAGTGCCTCACCACCCTCACAGGAAAGAATTTCCTCCTTAGATCCAATCTAAACTTCCCCTGTTTCAGTTTGAACCCGTTCCCCCTTGTCCTGTCACTCCAGTCCCTAATGAAGAGTCCCTCCCCAGCATCCCTATAGGCCCCCTTCAGATACTGGAAGCTGCTCTGAGCTCTCCACGCAGCTTCTCTTCTCCAGGCTGAACAGCCCCAGCTCTCTCCCTGAACCCGGTAACTAGAACACAGCCACCGGGCTGTTGGAGTCTTACTTGCTTGGGAGCCAGGAGGAGGACAACGAGGCACTGCCAAGGCTCGGGCGGGCACACCGCACACCCGCACATTACACACGGTGCTGTGCACGGCCAGCCCCAGCGTCCCTGCCTCAGCACTTACCCAGAGGAGTCACTTTTATCTCAGGCATCTGAACAGGATTCACATCCCGGGCTGGGCGGCGCAAATCACCTCAGAAACAGCCGCAAGCAGGCGACTTCACCGCCGCCATCTCAACGGCCCTCAGCGCCAGGCCGCAGGCTCCCGGCTGCTTCCTGGAGGGGGAGAGAGGACGCAGCTGAGCGCCAGCCACGCACAGGCCGCTCCCAGCCCCTCGGCTCCCGCCCCGCTCGGCTCCACCGTCCCCCGGAGGGCCGGGCCCGACCCGACCCGACCCGACCCGGCCCTTCCCTTCCCTTCCCTCACCCGTCCCGGCCGCTCGGGGTCCGTCTCCCCTGAGCGCAGGCGCGGCGCGGCGCGGGCTCCGCCCCGGGGTGATGGGGCCATGGCGGCGCCGGCCGCGTTCAGCCTGCGGGAGGTGCTGGGCGCCTTCGAGGCCTGCGTGACGGAGCGGCGGGAGGTGCTGCTCGGGCCCTACCTGCGCGGCTGGCGGGGGCTCATCCGGTGAGTGCCGGCGGCGGCTGCGACCCCGGCCCCGCTGCTGCCGCCGCCGCCCGTAACGGGGGTGCGCTGTGTCCGCTGCAGGTTCCTGCACAGCCTGGGCGCCGTCTTCTCCTTCATCTCCAAGGACGCGGAGGCCAAGGTGCAGCTGATGGAGGGGTACTGCTGCGGCGAGCGGCGGGAGCGGTACGTGTCCCTGCAGTCCATGGTGCAGTACGAGCTGGCCGGCGGCCTGGTGGACCTGCACAAGCGGTCGGGCCGGCCCGACTCCGGCTGCCGCACGGTGCTGCGGCTGCACCGCGCCCTGCGCTGGCTGCAGCTCTTCCTGGAGGGGCTGAGGACGGGCGGGGAGGACTCGCGGCCGTCCGCGATCTGCACGGACTCGTACAACGCCTCCCTGGCCGCCTTCCACCCCTGGGTCATCCGCAAGGCCGCCACCGTGGCCTTCTGCGCGCTGCCGCCGCGCAACGCCTTCCTGGAGACCATGAACGTGGGCTCGGCCGAGGAGGCCGTGGCCGTGCTGGGGGAGGCCTTGCCCCACATCAGCGACGTCTACAGCATCACCCAGGAGCTGTTCGCGGAGCACCGGCTGCTCGACCTGCCCTAGGGCTGCTCGGGAGCCGCGTCCCCGCGGCAGGAGGGTGGACGCGATGCTGGCACGGGCAGGCGGGGCCGGGGTCGCGTTCCCTTTCCTTTCCCAGTGTGGATGGAGCTGGTGAAGCTATTCGGGATGCCTCACTTTGTAAGAGGACGCACACCTCCTGGTTTTATGTGTGTGTGTGTCTGTGTTGGCTCTGCAGGAAGAGAAACACAGCGTGCTCATGGGATAGAACAGCCTGGGGAGGAACTGACCTTAAAGATGCTCTGGGTCCAGCTCTCCCAGCAGGGCTGGGTTTGCTGCTTCTTTAAGCCAAACTCTGCAACTGCAGCAGCGTCTGTGCCCTTGCGTGGCAGCGCGGCTCCAGGAGCGGTGGCTGAGCACATCCGCTCCCCCTGAGCTCACGTTGTTTACAACCTGTTTCTTAACAGGTCGGGGCGGGGGGGTTGCCCCCTCTTTTGTTTTAGCCTTGGAAACAGAGCCCTGAGCGATGCATGGCTGAAAGGAAGCGCTTTTCCATGTGGTCAGACACTCATTTGCTTACTGCTGCTCATCCTGTGTCCCCTAGAACTGAAGGAGGAAGGGGTGCTGTGTGGTGGTGCTCTGAGAGACCGTTCCTCTTGGTGCACGGAGCCATTCAGCAGGATCTTCCTTCCCTGTAGCTTCCCCTGCCCATTCAGCTCTGCTTTATGCACCTTGCGATGTAGAACAGCTTTAGCAGGTACTGCTCAATCCTGCCCATCTGGCCACGCTCCTAAATGTGCTCTCGTTAATTCTGCTTAATGAATGTGTCAAACACTCACAAACCAACTTCTCTTGCTTGGTTGGGGGCAAATCTGAACTGGGAATCACTGCTCTGGGAGGCTCCTATTACAAATCACTGTATGTAGTCACCAGTGTGTGTGCATATACACACCGCCAAGTATGTGAAATCGTTTGCTTCAGCTTTCTAAATGCTGGAAAAGCACTCCAGGATGTGAGGAATATCTGGGGGAGGAGGGGGAATCTCACAGGAGTTGATTGTATCTCAGTAGTGCCATTGTGGCCTGCTGGAACACCAAGGGATTCAGGAAATCACGGTTACCTCATGGAGATTAAACTGACTGGACATTAAATTGTGGGAATCACACCGTGCGTCTGCAGTGTCCTTTCTAGGAGCACTTGCTGGGTTCAGGGTGTTGGATGGAGCAAGACTTGGTGTTCCCCATTCAGGCCTTGTCCTTCACTAGCAGAGTCTGTTTCATTGGGTGGCCAGATGTGAGTCCGTCAGGAGTAACCCAGATGTGAGTCCGTCAGGAGTAACCCAGGTGAAGCCAGATGTTGTGCACTGAGCTCCTGTTCTCACTGCTCACATCTGCCAATGCTGTCCTTTGCCTGAGCATAGGAAATGGAAGTTCCTTGTACGTCCTACCAGGAGGTTCAGTTGCTCTGCTGTGAACACACAAATACCATTCCCTTTCTGCTAAGACCACCTTAAAATGATTAAATAGCTCCATAGGATAAATCCATGTATTCAAATGGAGCAGTTCCACGGTACAGACTACAAAACGCTGGGCCTCCCGTGCTGTCTGATAGAGATGCAGGTGGTATTTCACCTGTGTCATGTACTAAATGCCTTAAGTTATGTCAGCTAATGTCTGTCAAGTGAAAGAATGGTTCTGCTCTCTTTAGGTTTAGTGCAGAAATGGGAGTTATGGCCACATGGGAAAACTGCTTTTCCTCCCAACTGTTCCTCTTACGAGAGAAACAAACATTCATGTTCAGGATGGTTTCTGCCATTACCGAATCAAACTTGCTCAGCAGAGGAAAGAACTCAGTAGTTTACATCCAGTCATTCTGGGCAAAGGATGCTTCCAAGTAAAGCAGCTTTCCCTCAGCTCATTTACACAAGGCACTGCCTCGTGCTCATTCTGTTTCCCTAGTGCCCTGCCCTGTCTCCAAACAGAAACCTTTGTAACAGCCCCACTTTAGTCATCACTGAGTAGAACTGAGGGTCCTGCACTGGGCTTTGGGCAATTCAGTCTGGAGCTTTCACGAATGGGGCCAAATCCAGACGAGTAAAACCTTCCCCTGCAGAGAGCGGTGTTACTCGAGAGCTGCAGCAAGGGACACATTCACTAGAGGGAGGTGGGATACCGTGCACACAAATCCATCACATGAACTCTGTCCTTGCCACTTGATTCCACATGGAAGCACGGATGGCAGTAAATAATTCCCTGTGACTTCTACACTTTTCTCTATGCAGCTGAATTTGTGTTAGAACCTTTTACAAGTGACATGGTTAAAGCTAATACTTAAATATCCCATTAAGGGGAAGATAACCTTAAAAGGATGTCACTATAAGCTTACCTATAGAACATATATAAATGTATCCATGTAACATATAGAAGCATATCTATATAACGTATATGAACATATCCATATAACATATATGAACATATCCATATAACATATATGAACATATCCATATAACATATGAACATATCCATATAACATACCTGAACATATTCATATAACATACCTGAACATATCTACATAAGATATATGAACATATTTATAACGTATATGAACATACCTATATAACATGAACATACCCATATAACATATATGAACATATCCATATAACATATATAGGAACCTACAACTGTTGTTGCCCGCAGTACTCGTATACCCTTCATACATACTCTACCCTCGCAGCAGAAGAGGGCCATCACTTTGCCACTATCAGCAGGTTTTGTCATACAGTACAAATATACCATAAGCCAATAAAATGCAGCAAATGGAACCTTCCAGTTCAGAGCAAACCTGATACAATGCAAACCGTGACACAACCTGAATCACACCCTGTGCAGCCTGTACCCAAACCAAAGGGTTTCAGCTGAAGTTACCACCCCAGCTCAGTGTCAGAAAACTTCAGATGAGGCAACAACAGCTGCCTACAGGCAGCAGTAAAGCTGGGTAAGAGCTCACCTGCCTCGGAGTGCACGGTCCTGCTCCAGAAGAGTCCTTGCAGTGCTCCGAGGAAGGGCTGGTGATGCCCATGATGAGGTGACCTTGAATTAAACACAACAACAATAAAAGTGACTGCTGGGTAAGCCTCTCACCACCACCCTTCAGTTCACAGTGTATGCTGAGGTGCATTGAAAACCACATTATATGGCATTCTTTCAGTGCAGGCTGCTTGCAAGTAGCACACAGCACGCTCAGTTAACAGCAGGAAGCGATGCTGGTGAGCGATTCCTTCTCATCCTCCCTGTGTGTGATGCTTGTATGATGGTAACAGGCCCCATTCTCCTTGGCACACCTGGATTCTGCTCCTACCCAAGCTCATTCTCCTTGGCAATGCTTTTAGATGAGCAGCCCACATGGATTAAGATCTGCTCCCACTGTTACACAAGTCCCAAACCCAGTTGTTTTGGAAAACCATCAACAGGGACAGCTTCTACAACCATATTCCATTCAAGATGATGCTTCTTGTTTGGCTGGGGCAATGGGAGTTAATACAAAGGCTGTGTGTCCTAACTAGGGTTTACCACCAACCTACAGCAGCCCAACGTCCAGAGCTGCAGCAGTGAATTCAGCAAGTCACTGCTCGAGTAAAGGCTACTCACTGAGTAAGGAAAACAGGATTAGGCCAGTGGTTTGCAACCACACTCACAGGGTACTGGTGCATATTTGACTATTGCCCACTAAGCAAGCAGTGACACACTTGATGCATTTTGCTAACCAAATCCTTCCCTGACATTTTCATCTCTCCAAGTTCTATTTAAAGAGACTGAACTGGAGCTGGGGAGATGGGATCCCCCTTCCCCACGTCTCCGTGATGGGTTTTCCCCAAACCAGACAAAGAATGGTCCTGGAGCTGCTGCTCTGCTTGAGCTTTGCCTGTGCAGCAGCCCTCGAACCCACGTGCCTCTCGGCTCAGTTAAGAAAGCCTGGTGATTATATCCTAGGAGGCTTGTTCCCGTTTGGAATGGACATCCTAAACCTGACGGCGCGGTCAGAGCCCTCCTTAGTTGTGTGTGAAAGGTAAGAGGAACAGCAGCTTCGTAAGTACACATTAAGTTTGGTCACTTGGGCTGGGAGGAGAAAGGGAAACAGTTCTGGTAGTGACTGATGGGCTCATAGCTGATCATTGAAGGGGAGATGGGAACAGAGGTGCTGGAGCTGTGCCTGTTCTGCACCACCCACTTCTGAGTCTGAACTGGGAAATGGGTTTGTCTGCTTGATGCAGTCAGACTTACAAGCAGCACCAATCTGATGACAGCTTTTAGTGCATTGGCTTCCTTAGTGTTTGGAATCTAACACTTACAGTTGCTTTTGCTTCCAGATGGAATGAGAAGCATTCACTGCACTCCGCAGGCAGATGCCACATGGTGAGATTGTGCTATTTATTGCCTTTTATGAGGCAAAGGACACTCAAGTACTGTGCACAAGGTCACAACATCACCTGGCTTGTAGGCTTGCTGCTGTGCAGTGTTTCCTGCTCAGTTACACCAAGGTGGTTCACACCATCACATTACAAGCTACTTACAGCTCTTACAGTGGGAAGCACTGGCTTCATGGCAGCACACAAGGCTAAGGGCAGCAGTAAACATACTACAGGTCTCTCTGTACCTCTGTTTCTCCTGTGAAGCACAGATGTCTTTGTGGACAGACAAGACTAATCAGCTGTGAAAGGTGCTCACAGGCCCTCTACTCACAAGACAAGACTCACAAAGGCTGTGGGTACCAGGATGCTGACAGTGCCATGTACATCTGCCTTGGCAACAGGCAGGATGCTGAACCATCAGTGTGGAATAAGCTGATCAGCACGTTAACAGCCCTGATAAACCACGTAACTCCTGTCTCCTCTCACTGCAGGCTGTATGTAGACGGGCTAATATGGGCTCTAGGGATGAAGTTTGCCATCGACCAGATCAACAACTCCACTTCCCTTCTCCCGGGAGTGAAGCTGGGCTATGACATGTACGACACGTGCTTTGAGCCAGCCATGGCCCTGCAGCCCAGCCTGCTGTTCCTGACCCAGAACAGCACCACAGGCATCAGGGTCCTCTGCAACTACAGCGACTACCAGCCGCGAGTGACCGCTGTCATCGGGCCGTACAAGTCCGAACTCTGCCTGCTAACAGCCAAGCTGTTCAGCTTCTTCTGGATCCCACAGGTAAAGAAACGCCCTGGAGAAGCAAGAAATCCCCTTTTAGGTAGGCAAAGGGCTTGGATCAACAACTCTGTTGATGCTATTGGTCTCTACAGTAGGACTGTTGAAGCAGGTTCCAGTCTTTCCTCTGCTAAAGATTGCCTGGATAAGTCATTAAGCTTCCCTCCTGGACACAGTCCAGTGTCTAACATCCCAGAGAGAGAAGAGGCATAACTCAGGTTGCTGTGTGATCCATGTAAAATGGGAGTAAGAGAGCTCCCAGCATAAACTGGGAGGATCCCATGCAAATACATCCGTGACTGCAAGCTCTCAGTTCCCACAATAGAGCCAGCTGGAATGGTCAGGTAAACGCAGCCCTGAGCCGAGATATTCCTGAATCCTGGCTGCATCCCCCTTTGCACAAAGCAGCAAATTACTGTTGTCATTAATGATAAGGGCTGGTGCTGTGATGATGGACACAAATGACAGCAGAAGGAGATGGCCATGTGGGACAGCGCTACCAGAGACAAGTGATGGACCAGTTTATGGTTCTCTTGGTAAAGGCAGCCATGGTGGATGTTATCCCTTTAGATGAGTTCTTCCTTCCCATCACTGTTTAGAATCTAGTGCACCAAGACTAAGCAAAGGAGGTGGAGAGTGATCTGGGCTGTGGACACTTCCCTCCACATTACTCTTTGCCTTGCTTTCCCTCTTACCCTCTAACTCACAGGTCAGCTACGGAGCCAGCAGTGAGAAGCTCAGCAACACCGAGCTGTACCCAACCTTCTACCGCACTGTTCCGGGTGTTAAGAACTTGGTGAAAGCTGTGGCCCTGCTGCTGACCAAGTTTGGGTGGAACTGGATTGCCGTCATTGGAAGCGATGATGAACACGGCCGAGGAGCCCAGGAGCAATTCCTAAACATCGCTGAAAACCACAGCATCTGCATTGCATTCGAGGGGATCATTCCTACAGACCTGGCAGACCCCAATGCCAAACAATACCTGGAATACACCATTAACTTAATTAACAGGACCCAAGTCAACATCATTGTCCTTTTCTCTCATAGTCTGTCAGCCCAGGCCTTGCTGGAGCTCAGCATCAAGATGGGACTGGGCAAGAAGGTCTGGATTGGCACTGAAAGCTGGCTGCTGTCTGACATAGCCGCCTCCATCCCGCATATCCAGAGCGTCGGGATAGTCTTAGGCTTCATTACGAAAACCAGCCCAGTCCCTGGCTTCCAGGAATACGTTGCTGACCTCTTCGCCTCTGTCCAGCAGGAGGACTTCTGCCAGGAGTCCAGAGAACTCAACCAGCTCCTGAGCCCGGACACGCTGGGCGCGCGCTGCAAGCAGTGCGACCGCGTCTCGCTGCGGGCCGTGGCGTCCTCGCTGAGCCGAGCCCAGGTAGAGCCCGTGCACGTCGCCGTCTACAGCGTGGCCCACGCGCTGCACCGAGCCCTGGGGTGCAGCCAGCACGAGTGTCCCAGGGCACCCATCAGGCCTTGGCAGGTGAGGAAAGGGGAACGCTGCAGGTTTGCACCCGGTCTGCACACAGGCACATGGGGAAGGGACCTTAAAGCTCATCCAGCTCCAACCCCTGCCATGAAGAGGGACCCCTTCTACCAGAGCAGCTTGCTCCAAGCCCCTGTGTCCAACCTGGCCTTGAACACTGCCAGGGGTGGGGCAGCCACAGTAAGGTTCTGGCTCCCACTAATCACACGGTTGGTAATGCAGGCAGAAGGCCCAGAACCACCATCACAGCCCTCATAAGGGACAACTGATTTCAGCCAGACACCAGCTTGCTGCATTGTGAACATCACCTGTACCAGTATTTACTGTCTATTTTCATGTTCTCCTCAGCTGCTGCAGTTCATGGATAGCTTCCCCTTCGAGGTAAATGGCCAACAGTTCAGGTTTGATCAATCCCATGGCACGAGAACCGGCTACAAGCTTATATTCTGGTCCTGGGAAAACAACACCCTTCAGTATCTACCTTTGGGTGACTATGGAGAGTCCTTGTACATCAATGAGTCCCAGATGGAGCTTCACACTAAGGATTCAGAGGTAAAAACAGTGGGTAAAAGCACAAACAGTCACTAAGTGAAGTAACCCATTCTGCCACTTCTATAGGACTGTTCACAAGGCGCTCTCTGCCTGCATGCTGCTCCCATAAGGTGTGTGTGGGACCCAGCTCCTGCTCCTCTGCAAGCATGTAACCCACCTCCATTGTGCTGAACTAGGGAAAGTACTCCCAGAGCTGTCTGAATTTCAGCTATGGCTTGATCCCAGCACAGCCAGCTTCCAGTGTGTGGTGATAATGGTGCTTCTGAAAGCATCTGGCTGATGTGCGTTCTTCCTCTTGCCTAGGAGACCACACAGTGCTTCAAACAGTGTAAACCAGGACAGGTCAGACAAACCAAAGGATTCCACCACTGCTGCTATGACTGCACAGACTGTCCAGAGAACACCTTCTGGAATGCTAAAGGTGAGGTCTGGGAAACTCAATGGATTTAACTGTATTATGTCTGTCTGCTGGTGGAGATCACAAAGGTGCACAGATCTTCAGTGGGGCACATTCCTCTGCTGATCCCAAAGAGGATGTATAAGGGCAATACTATTACCTCAAGAGGTAGGAGAAGTGTATGATGAAATGCTGGGGTCAGAGGTAGAAGAGAGTCCTATGGTGAAATTTTGGGATCTTTTGGAAGTTGGTGATCCTGGGGAAGGGAAACAGAGCCAAGAGGTATGTGGGTCCTTTTAGGGGGAGGGTGGAGGAGCAGAGGTGGGGGAAAGAGACTGAACTACCACAAGCTCTGGAGATCCCATACACTTAGGAAGGGGGCAAAGCAGCACCAAGTCCTGCCTGCCCCATCCTCAAGGACAGCACAGCACTCCCTGCAAGGTGGTCACCAGGTCCTCACTGCTGCTTTGCAGACAGCTCCACGTGCACTCCCTGCCGCCAGGACCAGTGGTCCCCTGCCCAGAGCACGCGATGCTACAACCGCAGCGAGCGGTACCTGTTCTGGACCGAGCCCCTCGCCATTGCCTTGCTGACACTGATGTCCATCACCATGACCCTGGCCTGTCTGGCAGCACTGCTCTTCCTAAAGAACCTCGAGACCCCCCTTGTGCAGGCCTCTGGAGGCAAACTGAGCCTCTTTGCCTTGCTCACGCTCCTGCTGCTGTGTCTCAGCTGCTGCCTCTACATAGGGAAGCCCAGCAGCAACATCTGTATGATCCAGCCCATGGTCTACACCCTGTGCCTCAGTGCTTGCTTCTCCACCTTCTTCATCAAGTCCCTTGAGATCACCCTTGTGACAGAGTTCCCTCACTGTGCCCCCACCTACTTGCACTGGGTGACCCAGAGGAGGGCCTGGCTCCTCGTCGCCCTGTGCCTGCTGCCCGAGTGCTTGTTCTGCCTTGGCTACCTTCACTTGGGCCCTGACTACCTGGTGGTTGACTACAAGTCGCTGCCCACCGAAGTGCTGCTCCTGTGTAACACCGAGTCCTGGTTTGCCTTTGCTCTGATGCACGGCTACAACGGCTGCTTAGGCTCTGCCTGCTTCCTGTGCACCTTCATGGTCCAGGCCTCTGGGAAGAAGTACAACTTTGCCAGAGGGATCACGTTTGCCTTCCTCATCTATTTCATCGTCTATATCTTCTTCATTGCTGTATTTGTCACACTGAAATCAGTGCTGAGGGCTGTGGCGCAGGTTGGTACCATGCTGATCATCAGCCTGGGTATCCTGGTGACCTACTATATCCCCAAATGCTACATCATTGTGCTTAAGCCTCACCTCAACACAGTGGATTACTTCCAGAATTCCATTGAAGAGGAGCCAGAGGACTCCTCAACAAGAGACAATAATCCAGATCCACCATCACCTGCTCCTCAATAGAAGCTGCCTGTATCTGAACGAGATAACGCTGTTTATGGTGACTCTATGGTCCCAGACACAATCACCAGACAAAATACAGCCTTATCCAGCGGGCTGGACACTAGGAGCAGAGCTTTTAAGTTGCAAAGCATAGGGCTTTACTCAATGAGCTAAAGCAAAACACCCCCCAAGCAGAGCAGCATCCATCCTCTCTGTAGCTATCTGCTTGTTTCATCACTCACAAGTGTAGAGAACTGCTCCAGATATATCCATGCATCCTTTCCCAGGCCTTAAAAGAACCTTCAAAGATATTCAACAGCACAGAAACTAGAACACCAAAAGGGAATCATCTGAAAAGGTGTGAGATTACAGACCACAAATAGAAATCCTTGTGATTAATGATACTAAGAGTAGCTATCTACACAGGACCCTCTATAAAGATCTTCTCCTAGCAAACAACAGCAGAAAATACAGCTCCTGTGCAGGTCTGCTCCTCTTAGATACAGGAGGTAGATGAGGGGAGGGAACAGAACCAAAAGGTCCTGCACACTGCCGCTCTGTCCTTGCAGTCTGTACATGTATCTAGTGCGTCTGTGCACCCACCTTATTAAATATGGAGTCAATGACATCCTAACAGCTCTGGGTCTCTTTTTTACCCTACAGTCAATGCAAATGGGCTGTGAAACTGGTTCTAGTGGCTACCAGGATCCCTGATACAGCCGTCCCCACTGTCCCTGTAAATGAGATGCTGTGACAGGACACTGATCCTCTGGGCTGCCCTCTTGCTGCTATTTAAACAGTGGGGTCACACCTTCACAGTATGGTACTGAGGAAGTTCTGCTTATTTGGACTGAGGTTTAGAGGATACCTGGAAAGGTACATGGGAAGCTAAGAACATAGGAGAGGACACAAAGAAACGGATGTGTCCTGCACAAACTGAGGTACAGGGAAAAAACCATGTTCAGACCAAGGAGCCTCTCTGGTTTTAAGATGGAAAGGCCAAGCAAAGCTTCTGATGATAACCACTGCTCATCTAGCTCATGATATCATCACTACCCCGCTGCAGCATATTCACTGGTCCTTACACGTCACTGCCTATTGAAACAAAGCACAAGATGGAACCTGTATTTCTCAAGAGATTTCACAGTTTCATTCCAACTCAGAACAACTGTAGTTATTCAGGCCAGAATCCCAGTAAAACTGGGATGTTTGTCACCTAAATTATGCTGTACAAGCTTAGATAGAGTAATATAAATCATTATCATCATTCACCTCTTCCAGTATGAAGTCCGGTTTGATATCTCTGCCATGACACAAAAAGCTGCACTTGCCAAACTCAATGCTCAAATCTGTGTCACATTTTCCATGGAAAACAACTTCTTTTTGTGTTTCCTTGACTGCTTTGTCACAACAGGCACAGGAGCCGCGCTGCTCCGCACAGGCAGCTGCACGCACGAGATGAAGAGTACAGCACCCAGTCAAATTGCACTTCACCCACTGGTGCTTCATGAACATGCGTTTGCAAAGAGCATGGAAATGAGGACGAGAGGCACGGAAACGAAGAGTGCAAAGCACACTATCCAAAGGCAGGGCACAAAGTTCCTCCCCTCTCTAAAACCACACAAAGATCAGCACAGAGGAGCAGCGCTTACCCAGGGGGGCATTCCCCAAAATCAATCAATCACTTATTCCTCAAAGAAGAGTCATCACAAAGCACTTGTCAGCCTCACAGCTGCCGTGCCTTTGCTTTACTTGTCCACATTTTCTAGGTCTTGCAAAGCATTTATTAGGACTCATTAGAGCCTATGTGATGCAGCTGTGTGCACAGGTGATGGAGCTGATGGCCTGGGCCTGCTCTGCTCACCTTCACGACTGCAGGATCTTTATCCCTGCCTAACAAAGCCCAGCAGCAGCACCTTCCCTTTTGTCTTAGGTGTTTCCAGAGCCAACGAAGATGTTCACCAGTTTTGATCCTTATTATAACCTTCTCTTTAGTGTAATACACATGAATACACATTTATTACACACCTCTGCCCTTCCAAAAGGCTGGAGAGAAACCAGCCAGCCCAGAGCTTTGGCAGAGATCAAGTAAGAAAAGAGGAGAGGGTCTGTTGGATCACACAGCATCACAGTACCAATCAGCATTGTCTCAATGTCTACTTATAAACCACAAGTACTAGTGCAATAGGAGGTGGCTCATCAGGTACACTGTGCTACCAACTATCAGCCAACAGTTATTAAATATTAGCCATGTAGTGCCTCTTCATGTCAAGAAAGTGGCAGCCAGCGCTCAACCTTTACTTTTCCTAACAGTGCAGATGCAATACAGGAGAGGATTTATCTTTAATCATACTGAGAGGAATGATGACATCTCTCCTTCAGTTCAAAAGTAAAGGATACAACCTGATCCAACACTTTTTAACCAATACCACCATACTTATTCTTTCAAAGCACAATTAGGCTCCAACGCAGTTGTTAAGAAGCTCATTGTGTGATACTGAAATGAAGCAACCAGCCAAGTGCTTCCTCCAAGTGAAACCAGAAATATCTTAGCAAAAGGCTCTTCACAGTAACTTTTTATCCTTTAAACAACCCTTATTCCATGCAAACCATGCAAAGAGAAAATGGAGAAGCTGCACCATTATTCCACGTTGCTACCCAACAGCAGCAAGGCAATAATCAGGTCACATCACTGAGATCTTTTATCTTCCCCACTCACTTTGACAAGCAACTCTACTGCTCTTTTATTCCATACATTGAAGCTTTTCCATCTGTGCACTACATTGTATTGGAAGTTTACTCATCAATTCAGCTCCATTAAGGAATCTGCAAATTCATCCAAACCAGGGAATATTCTCTTTGTTAAGTGAAGAGCTTTGTGGTGCACTGCAGAGCACTGCAGGCAGTTTTGTGGCCACCTGAAGATAAAACTCTCCTGATATACTTGAGGAAAAACATGAGATATTTAACAAAAACAGTGCTCAGATTCATTCAAACCAGCAAAAATCTCACCTCAAGACTGGAAATCCTTGTTTCTGGAGACTGCAGCAAGTCTTCATGAGCACATTGTTGCACCTCAGGATCTCAGCAGTTCTCCTCATTCCAGTGCTGTGATTTCATAGCAGAGAAGCATTAAGTAGCTTTGGCTCATCATTCCAGAAATAGAGAAGGAAAAATGCCCTATTTAGCTCTATTGCTTCTTTCTGGCAGCAGAGCTACAGCCACCACAGACTGAGTTTTCCTTTAGGTGGAAGGGGAAGGAAGGGCAAAGCAGCTGATTAAAGTACTCAATCAGTTGGAGACACCTGCAGACAATTCAAACCAGCTCAGCTGGAGTCCATTAGCCTCAGTAAAAGAACATGTCCAAAACTCTGATCATTTCATATTACCTGGGAAAATGCTGGCTAGAACTTTTTGTACCCTATGTAAATAAATATGGTTTCAGAAGGAGAAGATGGGGAATTCTTAAGGCTTTCTCATAGGCTCTTGCTATAAATCTGCTGCAGAACTGCACCATTTATAGTGGGTGCTTCCATAATAACTGCTGCTTTGTCCCTCCCTTTGCTGTTTGATCTCTACCAGCTAAGAAGAGGGAACGTGCCTCATCAAGGTGTTCTTTGTGCATGAACCACTCAGACTTTGTCCTTATGTTGCGTGACAAATACACTGATTTAAGGCTTACCAGTTAGTCTGCAAAGTGGTGTCCTAATGATCCTAGCTTGTCTCTGCTGGAGTGCATGTGCACAGTCCACAAGAAGGGAATATTCACATGGAACAGCTGAATACACTGATGGGCTCTACCAGCAGATTCATCTCCTGGGTCTGCAGGCAGGAAAACATGTTCCAGCTCATGGTCTTTGTAACAGGATGTATCCTTTTACTTCCACAGACTTCCTCCAGCCTTTCCTGTACACCTACCCCTGCCAAGCTGTGAGAGGGAGAAGCTCAATATTAAGAAGGGCAATTCAAGAGGAAAGCACAAGTTCTGTGCCAGTGTATTAGTCATTAGCTCAGAGCTACAGCTCTGATGAACGGCAGGGCCTTGTGCCACATGGCATTTAACCTAAATGGAAGAGCCAGGCCTCTGCGCTTCAATCATCTGTGACCTGGTTTAGTGATGAACACTGATCGGGTTCCTGTCATGCTTTGAACTGGAAGCACTTCCAAAGTACCCTGGAATCCCAGAACTCCCAGTTGGTAGCTCCTGAGCATCATCTCCTGTGAAGCTTCAGTGTGGCAGGGAAAAAAGAGCAAGATTCAACCAGTATTTCATCATTCTGGTATAAAAGATAATGCAGTAGTGCAAAGAACTGAAGACATACACTGTGGTTATCACATAAAATTAAAAGCTTTTTAGTGTTTAAAATAGCATTTACACATAAGCAGCTATATATTAACTATACAGACACTTGGGTTTTAATACAATATCTACAAAAAAGAATTCAATTATGCAATAGACATTTAACAGGAACAGTGCAGTCCATGCTAATAAGAGGTCACTCTTTGAGTAGAACCAATTCTAGAATAGGCAATAGTCTGGGGTTTCAGTATTTAAAATCAGGTAACTTTGTTCCTCTACTGTACAGAAAATTCTTTACATGGATTTCTAATCACTGATTAGAATTAATAATTTTAAGTCAATCTCATTACAATCCAGTTAAATGCAAACCAAAAACAATTACATCAACTCATGAGCTGTCAAGTCTCCAGATGGGACTGCCCATTTCAACAGAACAAAAATAACAGCAAAAGTCAATGTCTGTGCATCATTGCTTGCCATCCAATAGACCTTTGGATAAAGTGTCCAGGGGATTCTTACCTTGGAGAAGTAGATTTATTAACAGGAGGTAAAAGACAATTGCAGTGCTTTTAAGACTATTTGCCAAAACACCTTACTCCTCAGAGTTAATACACTGGGTGGGTACCACTACCCCTATAGCACTACCTCCTCTGGACAGGAGACATCACCCCAAAGTGTTTTCTCACCCTCTTCTATGATCTTCCAAACATACCTGTTAGTCCTTGTGAAGTTATTGGCATCAACACATGCAGAGCACAGGCAGGTGTCAAGGGTCTCGCTTCCAGAACAAGAATGGCAACTATTTAAGGCTCCTGTTTTGATGCTCTTTCAGTGCCCTGTACAGCAAACCCACAACTCCTCACTGTGGTTAGAAGGCACAGGTCAAATTCTAGTGCCCAGCCAGCGCCAGTTACTTGACATTAAAAGAGTAAAGTTTTAGGTCCTGGTGAGAGAAACGGTTCTGCAGGATGCCAGCCCTCTAACTCCCTTCCACCTGGCTCAGTGCTTCCTGTTGTGAGTAGCTTCATGGGCATCAGTGGCACTTTCTTCTATAGGTAGTACTGTACCCAATAGGAGAAACTTGCACAGTTAAGCCCCCTTGTTGCAAAGACACGTGCACATGCATCGAAAGCCAAGGGTGGGATTTGGGATATCTCCTGTCTCCGTTCACTTCTGAACATTAAGAGCTAGCAATGGTTCAGGCCTAACCTTCCATTCACTCAAACCAGCCTCTCCACTATACACTACAGGGCAGGGAAATCAAGCTTCTGTTTTACACACAGTGGCCATTCTGTATTGCACTGTTCACAGGAGGGTCATTTACATACTCCTACTGCTCTCTGTAAATGGCGGGTTCTACACACTATACAGTATTACCCAACCAGCACATCTGTCAGTACATTCAGAGCACCCAGCATTTGCCTGAAATGGATTCCTGCTTGTGGGTGAAGCTATTCCAGGCTGGATTTAGCAGCCTGATGTCCTCAGCTTTCCCACACCTATGTTAGGGACTGTCAGCCTCATCCCAGAGTTACCCACAAACACACAGGTATATAACACAGTCGTTTCAACGTAGCAGCATAGACCAGCAAGACACAGAAGAGATTCTGCCAACAGCATAACAAGAAGAAGACAAATAAAACCCCAGGAGGTGTGTAAACTCTTGCAAAGACATAAGAAAATTAAATAGGTTTCTTCCATGGGTGAAAGCTCAGCCCCCAGCTTTAATCCCTTCTGGAAATAGCTTACTAAAGAATGACACTTTTCCTCCAGCCCTGGAAGTTCTGCCTGAAGACAAAGTGGGCCAGAAACATCCTAATATAGAAGAGATGAGAGAAGTTGAAATTCATTTAAGAGTAGAACCACAAGTGATTGTCAGTAAAGTCACAGACTCCTTAACAGTGCCTCCTGGAGACACAGCACATTACAGGACTCTTTCACCCTGATTTATTCCATTGCTTTAAGTGTCAATCTGTCCGAACAACTTACTGAGTGCAGTCAGCATCTTTGCTGTGTTACTGGGAGGAGGAAGGGAAAAGAAGGATCCTGTTGCCCAGTCAAGCTTTAGGTAGCGTCATTCTTTTGAAGAAGCCACCACCACCTCTGCAGTCTGCGTTAGCACCAGTTTCAGGAACATGATGTAGCTTTTGTAAAGCAAACTGCCCCCAAACCACTCAGCTCGTTTAGAAGTAACCGCAGTACCCGGCCTGAGTGCCAACAGCTTCCCAAACGCCTAGATCCCTCTGGAAGTCAGACATCAGTCTCCAGAGACATGTGAAACTGTTACTCTGACTCCTGTAAAAGGGATGGGTTTACACACAGACCTGTAGTAAGGAAAGAAGCAGTGAAAAACGTAACATACAAAATGGACAGGTGGAAGAGTGAAGGGTGAAAACCTCCATGTATGAAAGCTCCATGTACATAGTGAGAGAGACACGTTCTCTTCTGACATGCACATCGGATAGTCACACTACCCATAAAGCATGGAACAGAACAAAAAGAAGCTTCTTACCAGCGAAGAAAAGGCTCATATACAGTAAAGACTGAATTAAAAGCACCTGCCCTAAAACCTGCCAGAAGCAGGTATCTCACAAAAGAGGATTTAACTGAGGCACGGCCCCATGGTCAAATGCCACTAAGTGCAGCTTAACACACAGTTCCCATTAGATGAGCCACTGGAACAGTGTGGGTGTGCTCTCACCATGCCCTCATCCAGATACTTGAGAAAGGCTTCTTAAACATCAGTGAAAGCTCCTGAACATCCTTTATCAAGCATCCATAGCCTTAGAGTGAAAAACAGAGTAATGGGGATATACAACAGCAGCTGCTTAAGTCAGAGCTTCCCAGCAGGAGCTTTAGCATGGGGCTCACTCTGTGTCAGGTATAAAGGTTCATTCATTGTACCATTTATGAACTGTTCTCAAAACACCCTCTCACCTCACTGCTAACATCTATAGCCCCCATCCCTTGGGTAACACTGCCATCGGGATTAGACATCTCCAGGTTCCTACGTCAAACAAAAAGAGAAGGATAGATACTGCTCAGAAACGAAGAGGAGAAAAAGAGGTGATCAAAATGAATAGCCATGTCCCAGTGGGAGCCAGGATTTACCTGCATCTCTGCTAGAGTGGGATAAATGTCTGCCTTCAAAAGGGAAAAGCTGCAGCTACACTGAGAATCGTGTAGCTGCAATTGTCCTGTTGGTGTGGAAACAACTTCTACAACCTGTAAGCAAGTGCATAATATGACCAGAAGAAACAGGCACATCTGTCAGCAGGGATGTGTCTGAAATGCCCAGACTGCAGCTACAAAGTCACTATCAGGATACTCAATGAGATAACTTTACAAGTTCTGCACAATGAACACATACAGTAGCAAGACTCCAGCACTCCCTTGATAAGAGTATCTAAAACAACCCCAAAGAAAACCAAAGGAAGATCGATTTATACTCCCTAGTGAGCAGAAGAAGGTAGCCACAACTTTGCCTTCGGCTAGGAATCGGTTTGAGCCTGCTCCTTTCCAAGCACGTGTTGTCTTGCGGGTGCCACGGCTGCGTAGAGTGCTGATGTGCATCCAAGAGCGAGCATGACAAGGCAGTATCACAGATACCAGCCAGCGGTCAGTTTTTGCCTTGTAAGAGGAAAAAGCAGGGAAAAATAAAAGTGCTCCTATGCATTACTGGAAATTTAGAAGTCATGGGAAAGAAGAGTCCTTGAATCAGCCCAAAAGATACACTAATTGCATTGAAGTAGGTGCCACAATTACCAAAGCTCATTAAGATGTGAATATACACCAGCCATTCACAACCAAAAACAAGGAGGAGGGGGGGGAAACAAACCCAGGATGAAGAACAGATGCCATCGATTTGCTGGTATTTAGCAATCCCAGGAGATACTGTTGTTGCTGTTGTTCCTTTTGGTGGGGATTTTGTGTGGTTTGCTGATGTTTCTGCAACACAACTGCAACCCAGGAAGGGGCGACATGCAAGACAGCCAAGGTCCTTCCATCACGCGTTCGACAATGACCAGATTGCCCACCCAGCCCCAAAACAATCCCCCCCACCCCACCCCAAACAAGCCCTTCCCCAAGCAGAGTCTGAAGGCACTTCCTCTCACATGATGTCAACAAAGAATTCACAAGGGTTGCCCATAGCCTTCTGGAAGGACTGCCGGCTCCCCGTCAGCTCCGGAGGCACGGAGCTCAGTTCCCTTACGGGGGGCCCTCCGGGGGGACCGCTTGTCCCATAGACTTTGGAGCCCAGCTTGGGGAGGTTGTAGAGGGGTGGCACTCCTGGAGGCCCATAGGAGTGGTGGCTTCTCTCGCTGTGGGTGGCAGAGCCGTGGCTCCGGTGGCTGAGCTGGCTGAGGGGCCGCTCGCGCCGCACGCCGCTGGCGCCGCTGCGGGCGGTGTGGTCGGACTCGCTGCCGCTGCCGTTGGACTTGCGGTCCTTGTCCCTGCCAAGAGCCCTCCTGCTGGTCTCGCTGGTGCTTCGGTTCGAGCCGCTGCTTTTGCTTCCTAAAGGCCCCGGGTGAGAAGGGATACATGGAAAAGGAGGAATTAGCTCACGTTCGCTGGCGGCTCCTGCATCAACCGATGCGGGTACGAGCATCGTGATGGCAACAGTGATGACAAAACCAGGTCCGAACGTGCTGCTGGTGGCTTAGGGGATTCAGCAATGACAGCTGGTAGAACAAAGCTGACAAGGTTGTGCCATGCACAGGTACACGTAGACACCTCAGAGCTTGCACAGTGAAAGCAGCAGCTAGCCCAGAACCAGAACTGAAAGCCATCTGCTCTGCTGCCTCCCCACTGACTGCAGGGAGGGGAGGAGCAGAAACAGAAAGGAGAAGCAGGCATTTGGGTTTTGACTCAAGCCAACGAGGGTCAGTGTAGTTGTAACTGTCTCTGGTACCTTCTATGGGCAAAAGCTCCCCAAAAAGAAACTCATTTGCCTTCTCTATCATCCTTGGTCACAGCAGGGACAGACCACCTGCGGTTAACTGATGTCCTGTCAAATCATATAATCCAGGTTGGAAGGGACCTCAAGGATCATCTGGTCCAATCTACCTTAGCAAAGTATGACTTCTGTTGGCTTCATTGGAGATCTTAATATGGATTCAGCTGCCTCCACTACCAAGATTCATTAAGGTGAGCTTTCTGAAGAGGTAAGGTGCTCCCTGAGCTGTCATTTCAAATGTCTCATAACAATCTCGTACTAACAATGAAGAGAGGAGAAACTACCTGTTAGCAGGTCAACTGGTACAGCCTTGCTCCAAAGAACAACACAGAGATCACCTCCAAGAAGGATCTCTGTAAGCTCAGTGTGGCACATGTTCACAGTGGAAGAAAATGGACAGCTTAACCCTTCCACAGCAAATATAGCCTCTATCTTTGTCTCCTGATGCGTTCTGTTGCCAAACACTGTGTTAATCTCAAAACATATGACATCCAGTGGGCTCTGGAGCAGGGCTCTTGTTCACCAGATGCATTCAGCTATGATCTAACATTGCACATAGAAGAGAGAGTCCAGAAGAAACCCAATTCTAACACTCTGTATTGAGAGTGCCCAATGCAGTCTCATGTCCCAGTACTCTTAATACCTGCCTGAGACACCTGGGCAGTGCTCAAGTGCCTTTCAGTATATGGAGCAGTGGAAGGGCACTCATAGATAAATGCAATCCATACGGACAACATCACTAATAAATCAGGAGCTGGGATTATTCATTTATTCATTGTATGAAGGGCAGTGAGGAGAGTGGTGATGGGATATTCCCATCTCACTGACAGATGAGGTACCTGATGCCATTCCCTCTGCAGCTGCTGCAGCACAGTCACACAGGGGCCAGACAGGTTGACAGGCTAATGCCACGCTATTGGACTATTGTATTGAGACAGGTTGAGGGTCCAAGACAAGTAAAAAGGGAAAAATAAAGAATAAATAAGAAAAAAAAATACAGCTAAACATTTGGGTCACAAGAATCTAAATGATCATGCTGTGAATTCATTGTTATGGAGGCATTTGAAGCTTACCAATCCCCTAGAGTCAGCCATTCCTCTATGAATCCTTCAGTCTAACGCTTGCTCAGGACAAAACAAGGGAATAACAGTTACAGACAAGAAACAACACAGAAGTGTAGTTTCCAAAGAAGAACAAGTGTTGAAACCCTTCAAAACTGAACACCTTGGTGCCTTTCACAAGGCTCTCTTTGGCCAGTAACACAGGTTGCATGGATGAAATACCAAACCTTTCCTATTCCAGCAGCAGAGATCTCATGATCCCTCAGAAACACATCATCACAGTCTTCCCAGTACAAGCAGCTTGCAGATCTGAAAGCTTTGGATACCCCTGTGAGCTTCCTCACAGACACTTCTTAGTCTGAGATAAGGTGGGCTCAATAGGCCTAAAAGTTCCTGTTAGGGAACTGTTTTGCAGCCCCTAACCGGCTGTGGTTAACAAGAAGAAGCTGCATCCAAATTACTGGATGTTCACCACAAAAACACAGAGAATCCTCACCCTTGCTTTAATGGCAGCATTTCCAAAAGCAAACTCTGGAGATGATTTTAAACCCCCCCAGACCATCTGTACAGACAAAAACCACATCATTTTTATTTAGCGAGGTTTAAAATGAACCCAAAGTTATCCTAGGGCAGGAAAGGAGGAGGTCAGGTTTTTAATCCATGCAGTATTACCTTTTTTGCCCTGTCATGTATTACAAAAGAGACTCTCCTCCCTGTGAGCAGTGTTTCAGCCCTGTAAACCATCTGCTGGCCACCTCATGCTTGTCTCACACAAGAAAAGGGAGTGATTTTCCTTTTGTACTGAGCACTGACGTGAAAGCAAAGAGCCCCTTGGTTCTAATCCCTGCTCCATCAGCAACAAAATGGCCTAATTTCTAGCAACATCAAGTGCCCCACCGTTAGCAATGGCTCTGACCTCTAAAAGGGGGGCAACAGTTTACCTGTTTTAACAGGGTGGACAACTGAGTCATTAATGTTGGCCTGATCAGCATTACCCAAGCAGTAGTTTAACATGTGGTGCTGTTGGGTAGGAAAAGCACAGATACCCATGCTACCAGCTTGGCTCTAGTTCCCACAGGCATTTTGCATGGGGTTCAGAATTCCAGCACAACTATAACCAGCATCTTTTCCATCCTATTCTGTTCTGCTGACTCGCTTAAAGCATCGCTGGCGGTTTCAATACAGAGCTGAAAGGCTAACTCACTCCATCACATACACAGAATCCATGCAGGTAGCACACAAATCCACAAGACAGGAGCACAGACAGCACAAAGGACCTCAAGCAAATGGTTAGGGGTAATGACAGCTGTAGGAATAAATCCCAGATGAATCAGCTTACCTTCACTTTGCTGGCTCCCTGCACTGCCGCTTCCATAGCTAAAGCCTGGGTCTTGGTACGCTGGCGGAAAACACGGAGGGGGCAGAGGATACTGATAGGGGTATCCTTGGCCTAATGGCCAGGGAGCAGCAGGATGTGGAAGTGGAGCAAGGGTATCCTGATCCGAGGCTCCGCTGGAACCATTGTTAAGGTTCAGTGCAGCCATATCTGGAAAAGAGAGAAAAGGTGAAGGCTCTGTCCTTACCCAGCAGCTGGCTCCTGCACATTAACAGCATCAACAGGGACCAGAGGGATTCAGCCCCCAGGGGTCACTCAAAAAACTGCCAGACATTAGTATCTACCACTGGTACCAAGGTACCTTTCCAGCATTTCCAACATGAGGAATCATCCCCGTTTTACAGCTTGGAAATGGAGTCTGACTGACAAGCAGGAAGTCTGTGGCATCACCAGAAATAAATCCTGCTTTCTTGAGCCTCAGTGCAATGCCCTGTTTGCTAAGTTCATCCTCTTCCAAGTGGTCCTCTTGTCCTGTAGCTTCAGAACACCCACTTGTGGATTCCCTCTCTGTGCATCCTATGAGCAGACCACACACACCTCTTTGCCCTTTACAGACAAGGAACTTACTGCCACAGAGGTCTCCAAAGACATAATAGCACTGTTCTGAGAAGGTGATTTTGTTCACAGTGTGCCTGAGGTAGCCGTGTTTTAACATGCTGCTGGCATATTTGCGTGCCTCTCGTCGGTCTTTGAAGCCTTCCACGTGTGTGTAAAGCCAGTCAACCACATCTGCTCCTAAAATGGGAAGACGAAGAGGAGACCCAGGATCAGCAGAGGCAAATCGAGCTTTATGGGTTTCTAATGTTCACATTATCACATAGACCCCTAGGACTGAATAAAAACATGAACAGGCAGCAATCTTGTTGCAAAGAGCTTAAAAGATCAAAGACTCAGCCTGAGTGCTGAAGTAGTTACACCAAACATCAATAAAGCAAGCAAAGAATCATCTCACATCCATTTGAACACCACATTAACAGTGACACCAAATAAGCACACAGAAAATGCTACAGTTTCATTGTTCAACCCCTTCTGAGCTGCAGTAATGAAAATGACACAGGATTTACTGAACAAAAGTGACCGGAGAGTCATCTTCCTCCAAAGACCTGGATTTTCCTCTTTCTCAGCAAAGGGTAACTACAACCCAGGCTAAATGGCAGCACTTCAGGTCACAGGGCAAAGAGAATCAAAGGCAGACCTGTGGTAATTTAATTAAGATGCCTTATTAGGGCTGTGTGGCTGCCTGGAGCATGCAGTAGCTTTGGCTGTCCAGGCTCAAACATGACCTGTTAGTTCTCTTCTGTCTTGCTTAAGAGCTGCTCACAAATCCTAAGTCAAGGGCATATAAGAGGTCACAGACAGGCAAAAAGAAGTTCATCTAAAGATAGCCCCTTCAGCCTACTTCCTAAACCCCACTGATTTCTTCCCCCCCCCCAGCATCCCTTTGAGCTGCTTACCTATCACTGCATTGGAGATGGTAATTTTCAACCACATCCTGTCCCGAATTTCAAGGCCTGAGTCTGGTAGCTGCATCACCTTGACAATAGTAGCCATGTCACTCTTCACAGTTAAGGGAGATTCTTCTAATTCTAAAAGAGAGAAAGGTCACATGCTTCCTTGAAATGAAACGAGTCCTAAAACAACTTCTCAGCTCCCGGTTTGGATGACACGTTTCCAGTTCACCACCAGATGCAAAACCAGACCCAAAGGTTCCCAAATGCACCCTCATCAATTGTAAACTTCACACCAGTTCTTCACAGATTGTGTTCAGTGTAACCAGTTCAGTCACTGAGATGCTGAGTCCCTGCATGTCTTGACTTCAGGTCAGTGCTGCACTCCTTCAACCCATGAAGGCCATGGACAGCCTCTGCCCACCCAACAGTTCAGTGCACTGAATGCAAAACTCTGCAGGATAAGGTTTTCTGGCTTGTAGTTTAGCTTTTGAGTTAACAGTCAGGACCAATGCCCATCTGCATGGAGAAAGATGACAACCATGTCTCAATCAATGTCCATTTGGGTATTTAAGAGCTGGACATCAGCATAACTGGGGAGTGTTGAAACTGGAACAGAAAGCTTCCATCATCAGGGTAAAGGCTGGGGGTTTCCTTCAAAATACAGCTTCCAGGATGCCAATGGTGGCAGCTTTACAAGGTAACAACTCACTCAGTGCAGCATTACTTTGTTCTGCACCTTTCCTGCAGAACACTTCAAATACTGCTACCCCCAACTGCAGTCATCACTGCTCAATCCATACTTCACACACTCTTGAGGCAGAACAGCCTCACCAGGGACTTCGTACTTGGCTTATTGATTGTCATAACAGAACCAGAACAGGGCTGAGATTCACCCTGCTCAACTGAGGTGCCTCCCAGAGGAGTCTAGTTCCTTTAGAAACTCCTCTACCATACAAAGTGGCACCTATCTTGAAAGCCCAGTGGGATGAATCCGGGATCAACAGCCCACGAGCCTTGTGTTCTGCACAGTACTCAATCATCCTGACTATGTTCTTTGGATACAGCACTTCCTTCCTGCTCCCATCTTCTCAGCCCAGCAAAACTCATGTTTTCATGACTTGAGCACATGTACCCTGTGTTTTCAGACCGTTCCAGCAGGAATTCAGAAGCCCTCCTCCCCTCGCTTCTCCCAGCTCCCACATCACCCACCTTTCAAGGCACAAGGGAACCGATTTTGTTCTTTTCCAGCAACCCCAAACTTTGATAAGAGGCACAAGAAGCGTGAAGCAACGAGAGCTGAAAATGCTTCTTTCAGTATGTGTGCTGCTAAAGTGCACATAAACATCCCAGAGCATCTCTGCACGCAGTTTCGGTACTTCCAAAGCTTGAATAAACAGAGTTTGCTTTTGCTTTAAGTTAGTTTGGTTAGTGGCAAAAAGCAACATGTTTGTCTGGGGGTGGAAAAAGCCCAATACACCAATATTCAAGTAAAGAATGTGGGAAGCAATAGATTGTATTTTCTTGGAGACCTGTGATCTACATATAAAGAACAACACTGGCCAAGGCAGAGTTCAACACTCACAACCCACTGCAAGAGAATATTCTCCTGCATCAGCCAGAACACTGCTGAGAAATAAGGTATTCTTGAAGCAATAATTCCTATGAAACACCTCAGTCTGCCTTGGTTTGCACAGTCCTGTTTCTGAACAAAACACAGAGCTAGCACAGAGCGATTCCTACTGGGTGGTGGTGATTTGTACAGCCCCAGAATCCCAGCTGCTTTAATCACTAGCATCAATGTGATGGTGGCTGTGCAAAGGCTTCAGGTGTAACTTCACTTTGGCTCTGGAAGCTGGAGAGCAAAAGAATGCCAATCAGAAGGGAAGCAGTCCTTTAGTCCATTTGCATTACCCTGGCCTTGCTAGACAAAGTAAAACAGGAGACATTCACAGTGCTTAAAACAAGGACCCATGAAACAGGCTTCTCTAGGATGACTCTATTAATTCACTGCTTCCCCTTTCACAGCCAGACACTGTAGAACAGACACGCTATTTGTTTCAAACACCAGTGACTCTGGCCTCAGAGGATCTGAAACAGAGACTCCTGAACACAAAAAGCAAGAACCTCCATGCTGAAGGAAGCTCTTGGTTCTCTGAGGTATCAGTGCACAGCCTCTCCTCTCCTCCTCCATTCCTCCCCAACTCTGTCTTTCCTGTCAAAAACAACACGTACACTTTGTACCTGGGGCTCTGAGGTGCTGCCTGCCCTGTTCTGGGGGGTAACAGGACTGAACTGTGTTAAACAGAGGGTCACAATAAAGGCCAGGGGTCCTCTGCATTTTCTTGCATTCAGGAAAGGAAGCGCCGTCAGTCACTGGCATAGAAATGAGAAGCTGTCTCCAGAAATGTGGTTCTGCTCCCAGATAACCTTTATTTTAAAAGTAGGATTGAGGGGCACATTACATTTGGTTTTTCCTTATTCAATTAATTGTAGAAGTATAAAAAAGTATAAAAGAAGGCTACGTGAATAGCAGTGGAAGATTTCCTATGTGCTACACCGCTACCATCATTATCCAGTGACATCTACCTGAAGTAAATCATGTCAATTCATTAAAAACCAGTCAAATGCAAGGAGGAAGCTCTCACGTTCACCTAAGGGGAATAAAGGTGGAGACCTGCCTTGTAACTTTAAAAGGGACCAGAAACCACCTCTTCCTGAACGTGAACCACTGGGTTAACTTCTGACCTTCAGAGAAAGGCTTTATGCTCCCCCTAAGAATCACAGATTTAAGAAAGCATTCAAGAGTTGTGTGGTGCTGTCGTTTTCATGGTGCCTGTGGCCGGGGTTGGGTTGTGCACAGCTCTGCACTGCTGGCCCCGAGCAGAAGGCACCTGCCCTGTGCTGGCCGCAGTGTGACTTACTTTCCGAATCGGGAATTGAGCTTGTTAGTGAGGAGCTGGTAGATGTGGTGATGCTCATGGAGGGGCTCATACCGTAACGGGGGTACGCTCCCGTCATGGCTGTGGTATGAGAGATCCACGCTGCAGGGTCAATTGGCCTCACTGGTTCAGCTGCAAAACAACCAGGAAGGGAGAAAGAGAGACATGGAATCAGGTCGGCAATAAACACAGAGACCTAGAGTAGAAGGAATGGTTTAGGGTACACAAGTCCTGACAGTACAACTAAGATTGTCCCAGCATAAGAGAACAAAAAGCACCTTGCCAGCAGTAGCTGGATTCCTCTAGCAATTGGATATAACACAGTAGGATAAAACCATGACATTCCTGTTCCTGTAGCTGCAGTAGGAGGTATTCCCCTGTGTGGGAAAGAAGCTATGAGTCCAGTACTAATCTCTCACTATTATTCCATACAATGAGATAGAGAGTCTCATTTCGCCATGACACAAAGTATGACCAAATGCTTTGCCCCAGGTGATGGGAAGTTCTCTCCCTACTTCTAAGGGTCTTGGATCCAAAATAACCACTCAGAAGGTGAATCAGAACAGCAGCTTTAGAGTTCTGTATTTGCAGAGATGAAGCATCACGGACTTTTCCCCTCAATGTTTTCAGCAGCCACAATGAAACCTTTTAGGACTGGCACAGTCTTTCAAGATAAACAGGTAAGACATATAAAGACCAGCTGAAGAGACCAGTGTCAGTGAAAATTACACTCAGGCCTTAAGAAGAGCACATAGCAGGTCATTTATCAAGCTGGGATTTTCCTTACGATTCCTAAGGACTTAACTGGGTGAGCTCCCACAGTCTGCACCAGGCCACTGCACTAATTTCAATGGACAATACTATCCTCATCTTCTTGGAAGGACTGGTAACACCCTGGTTTCAGTATCCTAAGCAGAGCACTCACCAGTAGGAGGCATCTGTGTGTTTGACACACGAGCACAGATCTTTTATAGCTACTGAAAGGATCTCAAACCCCTGCCTCCCAAAAAAAACACAACCCAACTTAAAAGCACCAAACTTGCAGGGAATGGCAATCTGTTAGAGGCCAAAATAGCTGAAAATACCCTGGACCTTGAGGGCTCCACAGGAACCCAGCAAAGAGCACAAGTATGTACTCACCCCTGGGGATGGTGAAATAACTCCTGGGAGTAGGGTCCCAGCATTTGGCTACTGTTAGGCTGATAGGTCTAGGAAGAAAGAAAACAAGGGTGACTCTCAACTCTCCCTACAGAAGTTGTAACTGCTACAATGAGCTCTCTAAAACGAACGTATTCCTACCCAACAGCTGCCAAGTACATTCTCAGACTGCTTTTGAGATGCTTGTCCAAGTATTTTCAGTATGAACAGGTACCAGGATGGTGGTGGTTTTGCACAGATCATGAGCACTGCTGCTGAAATCTGGTCAAACGATCAGCTCTTGAGCTATTAAAACACCCATCACATAAACAAATAGTGCTACTGAAACCAGGCAACTCCTAGGTTGTGTTGGCTTTGGCTGGCACCTTGGAACTAGTCTCACCTACTCATCAGTTACACCAAGATGTTCAGAGTTGAGATAAGCTGGTTGCTTATTGAGCTCCAAATGCTGATTTCTCTGAGGCTTGCCCAACACCAACAACTGCAGATGGAGGAGAAGCAACGAGAGATTTGGGAAGATGCTCACCCTGGTTTGGAGACTATTTCCCGTAACACCCGAACTGCATCATCGTTGCTCATGTTCTCAAAATTGACATCATTCACCTGCAATGTTGCAGAAAGCAGAGGTCAGAAAGTGAAAGACACTTTCATTACCTCTTTCCAGTGTTATCTGCCCTATAACTGTTCCCATTCCTCTGAGCAGCTGCAGAAATGCTGCTTCTCAGAGCTCACAAAGAATTAGAGTTCAGTGATAACAGTCTTTGTGCCACATTTCTCTGAGTATGACTGACTGCTGTTAACTGATCCCAAAGCCCATTGATCTGGTGGGATGTCTGAGCAGAGCCACCACTGTACAAGCCCTCAGCATGTATGTTTGGACATGGACCAACCTGCAGAAGCATGTCTCCTGGCTCGATTCGGCCATCTGCTGCCACGGCCCCTCCTTTCATAATAGAGCCAATGTATATGCCACCATCACCCCGGTCATTGCTCTGTCCTACAATGCTGATTCCCAGGAAGTTGTACTTTTCTGTACAGATAGAAAGTGGAGGGGAGGGGGGGGAAAGCAAACAAAGTGATTGATAATGAATAGATAACATGCTACTTCAGGTTTGAAAACTCGGTTCTCTCAAAACATCAGCAAGGGTCCTGTCTGACTCACAATTAGGCTGCCCTATTGGCATGTGTCTGCCTGGCACGTTCACGGAAAGGCAGCAGGAAAACACTGCTGAAGACATTATTTTTCCATACAGGACACTGAAAAGTTACTTTCAAAACATCACCAGGAGAAACGACATTGAAAAGACATGTCTACACCTAGAAATTAGGCACCCCATCAGCATTAGGCAATGTTTTCTCCACACCTCAAAGTGGCTGGAAGGATTTGGTGTTACTGAAAGGTGCTGAGCTGGCAGCTCTGCACAATGAAATGTGTGAGCAGCAGAAATGCAAACCTTCTACTCTTGCTCTTAAATGCCTGACTCCTTACCCTTCCTAGAAACAAGAGCAGAGCTCCATATCCTGGAATTCCAGCTCCTTCCCTGGGCTTCTTGGAAACAATATTAATCTGTTTGTGCAAACAGCTCAGAGGTATCCAGTACTGGACTGGGAATTCAGTACCAACTCTTATCTGCCATTCCCTTTAGTCCAGTTGGCATCCTTTCCAATGAAGGAACCTTCTACTGGCTCCAAAGGCCACTACATAACAAAATACATCTGTGTCACTTGAAATTCATCATCAAAAAACATTGCTTATGCTCTTACCCATGTTGAGTGTGACAGTGATGATGTTTAGGGACATAGTGGAATCAGTGATGCTGCTGAACGAAGACGACTGCAAAATACAACAAAAAATCTCAAGGTTTTAAATGGCTCAGAATAAAGACACCAAAAATAACCATTGAGGATGAATTCAGTGGGCACTGATTTATAGGTTACCGCCTGGAAAGTACCCAGAAACCACTGTTCTTCATTTACAAGCTGTAAGGAAAGAAAGCTGGACATAATATGCACGTTCTCCAAAGATTTGTTTAAATATGCACAGAGCAAGTTCCTGCATTCAGGTTTCTCAAGTGCACTTCCCATTGCATCATTTCTGCTTCCTCACTCCATGACTGAGAGGCAGGCATTTAAATAGCTAAGTGCCCAGTATAGTGTGAATTATTACATCCACAGTTCCTCCCTTAACAGAGGAGTGAGCAACACATGATCCTTCAGGCACTGAGAAGACAGACGCTCCCTCCCTCCAAAATGAAACACAAATGTGCTTATCAAATACCTTCTAAAATCAGATCTTGTGATAAAATGCATATATACCAACTCTTTCATCTGTAAACACTGATATTTATAGGAGAACAGAACAGTTACTTCAAGCTTGTCATTTGGACCATCCTCATTCTGTTACCAGAGGACTAGCCCAGGAAAGGGCAAGAAAAGAGATCTGTGATTTCCTATAAACTTATTTCTCCTTCCAGCAGAGTGCAAGTCTCAGCAATTTATACATTTAAAACCACAGACATAGCATAATGGAGGCTCTCCTGCAGAGGCTGGTTTTGGAAGAGACAACAAGAAATGTGATCACTTAACAGTAAGAGCAGAAAGGGAGAGGAGAAATGAGTCTTGACCCTAGTGCTGCAGAGCTTCAAATGTTAGAGATTTAACCTAGGATTGACTGGAGCCAAAGGGAGCATGTCCAATGAATTCAACAGGGCACAAACCTCTTCTGGATCATAGAATCATAGAATGGTTAGGGTTGGAAAGGACCTTAAGATCATCTAGTTCCAACACCCCTGCCATGGGCTCACACTAAACCATGGCACCCAAGGCTTTGTCCAACCTGGCTTTGAACACTGCCAGGGATGGAGCATTCACAACCTCCCTGGGCAACCCATTCCAGTGCCTCACCACCCTCACAGGAAAGAATTTCCTCCTTAGATCCAATCTAAACTTCCCCTGTTTCAGTTTGAACCCGTTACCCCTTGTCCTGTCACTACAGTCCCTAATGAAGAGTCCCTCCCCAGCATCCCTATAGCCCCCCTTCAGATACTGGAAGGCTGCTATGAGGTCTCCACGCAGCCTTCTCTTCTCCAGGCTGAACAGCCTCAACTCTCTCAGCCTGTCTTCATAGGATCCCTTCCCAATTCCCATGCTACACTCACAAATCACAGTTCACCTCCTTGAAAATGATGATGCCAACCTTACCCTGTCAATTTGCCGCATCCTTTGTTTCCTCCTCCTGCGTTTATGCTTCCGGATGAGGCGGGATGAAGTACTTTGCTCCGTGGAGCTACTCAACCTGAGAAAAATTGAGAGTAAATGTCAACTCTGTCAAGCTGAGCCATTTGATGCCTCTGCACCCTGCTGAAAGAAGGCTGCTTCCTAAGAAAGCAGGAGAAAGCAAACCAGACAAGAGACCATCAGCCAGCTCACAAGGTATTGCTGTGCTTGTTGCTGGCTTGCTGCTCAGCCCCGGTGTGCTGTGCCTTAGCCTCCGCCTAGGAGTGCAGAGAAGAAACCAGCTGAACTACAGCAGGGATTAGAGAGCATAATTCACTGACTTACTTTCTTTTGAGAGCAAGACTGAGTGCAACCCACAGCTCAAGAGGCAGGCATCACCCTGATTTAACCGCCCAAAGGGCAGACGTCGCCGCCTTCCACTACTTGAAAGGTGGTCCCGAGTCCAGGCCCAAAGGAAAGGGCACACTAAGAACAGCCATACATTAAACACTGATTTTATCTCTGCTCTGAGAGGACAACATGAAGAATCTACCCTGTCAATGGGAACTTAAAGTAAGGGCTTGATTTCAATGAAATAAAGCAGCAGTTGCTAATAGCTACTACCAAATAGTGACAGGAATAGTGAGTAGGATTTACCTTTACATATTCTGCCAGGTTTATTTTGTTGTGGGTTATTTTTCAGGCTCTTTGAACTTGTAGAACCTCAATGTGCCACATTCTACAGAGAAATGCTTAAGATCCCCCTAAGAGTTAGGAATGTTAATCACTCTCATTTCGCAGATAGAGGACCGAGACACAGAAAAGACATAAATGGATTTGCCCAAATTCATTTCAGAAGCCTGGAACAAAGCCTAGATTTCAGATATGTAACACCACAGAGACAGCTCTATCTATTATGTTACGAATAGCAAAACAAAGGCACAGTAATGCTCCATCATTAGCTAAGGTTAAAAAATACCCACCCCTATGTAACACAACTGAACTGGCACTGTCACAAAGCAAACAGTGCCAGTCTTTTTCCTTAGTCTCCATGTCCTTGTCTTCAAAGGTCGAGCCACGTGCAGGAATGTGAGAATACCTCAAGCAAAACTGGGTACCAGCAACTTCAAAAAGAAGAAGACAACCCAGCACACCGGGAAACCCATCCTGCATCAGAGAGGTGTGTTTTAGCCAAGCGGAATGTTTCAGATGATGGAACTGCTCAGAGGGTGTGAATCTCCTGCCATTCCCTTTGTGCTCACTAAACTATTTCAGGCATGTTAACCTCACACACTCCTTTTTCCCCCTCCCAGCAAGGCAAATTAAAGAGCTAAGAGGTGGTATTTTCAAGAGAGATCAACAAGTTGATAGTCCTCCATCCGTGCAAGCAGCTCACAGCACCTGGTTTGCTGAGGTTTCACCTTCTCAAGAGGAAAAATACAGAGCTCCCTGAGGCAGGGATCCCAAAACTGGATTTCTTCAGCATTCACCACTCATCTTGAAAGCACTGGCAAAGACTGACACAAACCCCTCCTCCTATGGTTTATTATCAATATTCTCTCTATTCCTATCTCCTCTCCGATTGCATTCTCTTCCTCTTCTCTCCCAGCATGTCTTATCAGTAGGATTCAGGTAAAGCTTCCCAGCACACACCAGTTGAGGGGAATGTGAAGACAGGCATGTGGCTCACCACGCTGAACCTGCTTGCTTTTGGACAGCAAAAAGGAAAGGAGGCCAAAGACTGGGGGAGCTTTTCTGCATAAGCCCAAGTCAAACAACAGAATATCTTCAAAGGCTTTGGGGAGACGGGATATTTTTTGGCTTTATCCCAGTGTGCATCACTCCAGGAATATGCAATACTTCCTGTCACCAACCCTTCTAGAATGGCATCCTCTAATGGTTACTGTGGATAAAGAGGATTTATTAAATTCATACATTAGTTTACTCCTCCATTAATATTCTTCCTGATCCCAGAGAGCACAGATTGCTGCCTGCCAAGGCAGACTGGCTATGCCAACTCCTTCCTGCTGCTCCAATGCACAATATGGCATTGCTCAGAAGAACAAAGAACCTTTATTTCCAGCTTGTAGTCTGAGGTAGCACTGAGCATAGGTAGAAGTCAGGACTGCTGTCTGACTCCGAGTCCTTAGAAGGGGTAGTTTAACCTATCATCAAGTACAGGACATGAAACTATTTTCATTACTATCTTTAGAGAGATAATCAGGGTTGAGCTGCAAAAGGTGGACTGGAAAGGGAGAAGAAAAGTCTAAGGACACTGCAGAAAGGTAGAGAGAGCACATCTGACATGCTGAAGGGGTGAACAATGCTAATATCAGCATCTTGTTCCTTCACTTTTGCCCTCCCTATTTGGCTACTTGGGGGTCAGGCTACTCAATCCAGTCCATTTCGATACATGACCGATAGTTCAGTTTCCTCCAAGCAGGAAACATTTGGGCTGTTTCTTTTAAACTGAATCAACAAACCCCGAGTTCATCGGCAAACCCCTGCAGGTCTGTTACCAGGTGATGACATGTGAGAAGGGAAGGTCTCTCTGTGATATTATTTCCATTCTACTCAGCATTAGGCTGGAGGAATGGGAATCAGTTCCTTAGGAAAGCCACAGCTCAGGTTTAGTCCAAGGGGACACACAATGCTTCAGGGAAGAAACTCCTTCAGCTAAAACAGCCTCTCACATTAGTTGCACAAAATCGATGATCAGAAGGCACTGCAGAAACATGGTTTTGGTGCTTATATCTGTTTCCATGTAGCTACAGTACACTCCATAATCCCTTCTTGTAATTCCATAGCCTTTATGCTTCCTGGCTGAATCCCACATAAGCACTGCATAGCTTGTTTTCTAGGCTCACCTGGATGCTGAACAGCAGCTCAAGCCTATTCTCATGAGGAATAAGATTTGATCTCTGAAGTATCCCCAGAAATGAGTTTAAAGTTATTACAATTTGATGAACAAAACACTATGGTCTATTTGAGCTGGAAAACAAATCTGGAGTAAGAACTGTGATCTCCCTGTGCTTGCTACTGGCTAATAAATCCCAGAGATTTTTAGAACGAATAAAGGGAATTTGTCCAATCCACATTCCCCAAAGGAAGTTACAAAGGTAACAATTTGTTAAAGAAAGCTTATATAGTCTAAAAAGAACTAATGTTAATTTCTTAAATGATAAATGGAAACCATTACTTTAGTTACATCGAACCAACAATACTAACTGCAAGTTGCTGACAATAATCCTACAGCTCCAGATGTCAGAGCTGCCAGACCTTTATTTGTTTAACAGAAGCCAGTAATAAGACTCTTACTGTAACGTTCACCATGAGCTCCCTACATCAACCTGCACTCAAAAGCCCATCTACTTCCTACACATAGCACTAACGTTCAGATACATCATACATGAAAACAAAGCAAAGATATCATTGCACTCACAGCACTTGAAGGGTTCTGTGCTCTCCTGTAAGACCTGTGAACAGTCACTCACTGAAACAAAGAGTGCTTCCCAACAACATCCAACAGGATTGGGCTGGAAGTTACCCATTCTGCTGACTGCTCCCAGTTAGCAATAAAATAAACCCAGATCAAACACACGCTGTTAGAAAAGCATCCTCATCCTTGCAGTCTCTTCACTTCCAAGACAGTAACATCCTTTACACCCCGTTTCTTCTCCCAGTGACCTCCTCCACGTACCATCTCCTTTACAAGGCAGGTTCTGCCACCAGAATTCACCCGCTATTATCAAACAAACTTACCCCCTTCAAGCTCTTTTTCCCCAGGCTGCTGTCTCCAGCAGGTCTGGAGCATGCTCCATTTTCTATTTGGCTGTATTTGTCTCTACAGAAAACTTCTCCCTGCCAGCACAATACCTCATCTGCTTGAGAACAGCATCACAACAGCATACCTCGGAGCATTCCATTTAGTTGTTCTTCCTGACTAGCTGGCCTGGCAGCTATTCCATGTGCCAAAAGCTTCTGCCCTCACCTAGAAAGGAAAAGGCCTGCACAGCAGCTTCGAAGAGTCTCTTTCTTCTCAGGTCAGACGCAGGAAGCTTCACTTTATTAATATAGAAAGATTTAGCTGGGTCTGGCATAATGTGCTTCAAAGGCCACCCTGACTGTGCTAATCCTGCCCTACTGCATATCTTGCTGCCATGGAAATGATTAATTTATGTACAAGAAACTCAATGAGCTGCAGGCTTGTTGTTGTTTTTGTGGGCTTGATATTTTAGCGAGGGAAGGAGGGTTAGAAGCCCTAGAGGCTTTAGGAAGGCTTAGAGTACATTCAGGTTAACTATTGATCTCGCCAACTCTTCATGCACATGAACATCCAGGTGAAGTACAAAGCATTCAGAAAGGCAATTTTCTGTATCTTCAGGTGTGGGCAACTTCACTGTAACTGCAAAATCAGCTCTTGAAACTAACTTGGGACCAAACCTTATATATTCATTTGGTTGCACTCTCAACCCTTTGGAAGTACCCAGGCTTTAAAGAGAATTTGAAGGGACTGATGTTCTTCAGCAGGTTTTTAAGCTATGACTGTCTGCAAGACCAAACAAATCCACTGAGATCAACAGGCTAAATAATCTGTTGGTAAACACAGCAAGTGTTTAAGTATCTCCTGATACTTGAACTATCTCCAGAACCAGTTGTTCTTCACTGTTTCAATTCTACCTACAATTTAAGAACATCACCTTGCACCCTTACTTGCTTTAGCTACAGATCTCTCTGAACCACCAGAGAACTGTAATCTTCTTGTTCTCTGACAATAGGGATCTGTAATGGGTTTTCACAGCTCACTTTGATGAACAACATAGAGACAGTGTTCAGGGAACACTGTCACTGCTGCCAGGAAAGGGAATAATATTCATTTTGATTGAGTTTACATCTTTACAAAGGTATTTTGATCTTATTAACCTTTTATGGAATGACAAAGAGTATCTTTAGATATTAACATGGATGTCTTGACATGGGGAGCTTTTTTTATTGTAAAAAGCAAGGAATAATTCACATTCTGCCTGCACAAAAAGAAAACAGTAATGAAGAAGTCATAAATACGTGGCATCCCAGCCTGCCTTTGCAATGGCATTAACTTGGATGAGTTTCTGTACTGCTCATAGGCCTCAGACTATGCAATTACATAGGAACTCCTTTAGCATTCAGCTTTAGTGAAGGGTGTACTTATTAGGAATCTCTGCTGAAGGTGTTTTGTTACAATATTCACACCCTCACTTTATAAATAGGCAGACAGTTGCACATGGCTTTGATCTTAAAATCTGATCATTCTTGCTATTAAAAGGAAAGACCAGGAACAGAGTTTCCCTCTTAATGGCAGCTTAGAGAGTGACCCCAATAACTTAACTGGTTTCTCAGAGCAGTGACTGCATACGACATGATGCTACTGGTGAAATTATCTGTGCTCAGATCATATGCAGCAGGAATAAAAAGGGAAACATCCATCAGCGTGTTTCAGGAAAGCTGTCAGGAAACACAGCAGAATGGCTGGGAAGCAAATGCAAACCATGTTTAACAGCTCAGCCACTGTGCCAATGCCCTACCTGCTTGTGTTGTCATCATCATCAGAGTCGATGAAGCTGCTGGATTCCAGCTCGCTGCTCATCATGGTCGAAGAGCTGTCATAGCCAGGAGGGTGCTCACGGTGCCGGTCCAGTTTCGGATGGCCATTGATCCGAGGGACTGGAAAACAAAACCAATGGAGTTTTACCAGGGAAAGAGGAAGAGCAAGGAAGAGGTGGCCCTGTGAGTAACACAGCACTCACACTGCCAGCTCCAGACAGCTCTGCAGGATGATTCTTATGCTGGAACCAAGCTCTTCACAGACCCTGGTTTCATTCAGCAGCTGGAAAGCTTACTGCCCTGCCTACCTTCCTTTTTCATTTGCCTATGGCTCAGTTCATGGGCAAACCATAAACAGATCAAGGAAGAAGCAGCAAGTATGAACAAGTACTGAAATGGTATCAGCACATCAATTGGAATGGCCATGGGAGGTTGATATCATATGAGGACCTCAGAAAAGCAGCAGATAACCCAGTTTAAGTTTGGTATGGACAGGCCTAGCAGCAGAGAAAACATTAAATAACACTCCTTGGTGAAGTCTATTAATATCTCACCCACAAAACCACTTATCCCTCAACCTGTGCTTCATGTTCCTGTCCTACACCACCTTGTCTGGGCAGTACAGCTATACCAAAGTCACACTGTCTTGACCATTCCACACGCATAAGATGCTTCAGAGCAATTTCTTACTAATCCCAGACACACAAACATAATGCAGATATCCCCCTCAGTAAGAATGCTATTTACTTGAAGGCAGCAGTGATTCATCCTTTTCTGGAGGTATTTTATGTACTTCCCTCTGCAAAGCAAACTCCTCTGCCTGCCTCCTTCCAGGGACCTCTCATTAGAAGAGCCATAATCTCTAAGTGCTCAATGTTGCCAAGAATTCCTTTCCCTGAACCAAGAAAGGCTCAGTTTGATAAGGCACCTGGTCAGGAAATAGACATAACAGGCTTCAAAGACTGGCTGATATCCCTGAATGTTCAACCCCAGCTGCTCATCCAGGCTGTCCCCCAAGGAATTCAGTATTATCTCTGAGGACTCACGTGGCTGGAACACTGCAAACTGTGCTGTAAAACTCACTCAAGGGCCTACAGAACAACAGTGCTGAGGACAACAGAGATGTAAGGTCCCAGTTCCGTATGGTAACAGAGCTTGTGCCCAAGAAATCAAGGACAGAGTCAGCACTGCAGCCTATAAATCCCAAGGAACACTCAAGAGTAATGGATCCAACAAGGCAGAAGAGGATCTTCTCAACACTATAATACATCAGTATGGACATAAGCTCCCCAAACCCAGTAACAACCACCCAAACTTTCACATGCCCTTTACATCCAGTGTGTGTTACCTCATTCTTACACCAAGTACCTGAGTTTCCCTGCACAAAATAAGGCACTGACCGCTTAGAAACTTCAGCTGAAATGAGTGTTAATACCTACAGCGATACACAAGGGGCTGTGCTTCTGGATAGCATCTGACTGGTTCCAATGGCCTCATCGGGGAGTGAGGCCACTTGGGACAGCATCTCCTATGGGGAGTGGGTCTCGGAGGGGAACGCTGCTGTGAGTGGAGCTCCTGTTGCCTCTCCTGCTGTGGCTGGCTCCTACCAAAACACTTCAACAACGTGGGAGTGACCATTCTCCTGCCCACTCCGTGCCCACTTAAAGAGGCTCAGGGCTCTGCTGGGACACTGGAAAATTGCATTCCTGAAGACTCAAAGCCTATGAAAAACATGTATTTTAGCATGCTTTTCCTCCAGGACATAGTCCCATGCAAGCCTATGCCCAAGAGGCAGCACAGCTTGTGAGCATCTTGAAGGACTAGGGAAACAGGACAAAAATCACTGCATTGACTGTGCCATTTCCACAACACACTTTGTAACCATATCCGCTGGGTACAAGGCACCCTCCTGCATGGATCAGTTCTCAAAAGCCAAGCATTTTATAGCCACATTTTAATGGGATCCTGTAATAGGACATAGCTCTCTTTAGCCCAATAAACCACACATAGAGAGACCTTTGAAATTTGTATAATAACCTTTTAGAATGGAGTCAGACTAGTAGAGATTATACTGATTTGGGGTTTCTTTTAGATTATCTCTTAATGTATTATAGAAATGGATCTCAGATCCTAATACCTGGGCTTACAGCCATTAAATTCCTCTTTTTTTTTTTTTGGAGATAGAATTGAAGGAATTTCTCACCCAAGAATAAAAACCCCTGGTTCTTTGGGAGCAGCACAACCCAAATGCAATATGCCATTAATTTGTTAAGACAGGACATGTACAAAGATAATCCTTCCAAGCAGTATTACAATGGTGCCATAAACCTTTTCCAACTCCCTGTTTCCCTGGGAGTTTTCCATTAGCGTTTCTTGAGTTGTTCCTCACAAGCCCAAGGGATTAAGATGATGATGCTTCATCTAAATGAGTGTTTGCTTTTAGCGTCATTAACAGCAGCCAGGTTTAATATTACAATGGTCTCAGCATTCTCATGTGGTGTTACCACAGATGCTAACTTAGCACCTCAAATAGCTACATTTAATACAGATTTACCACATTTGGTCAAGATTTTGACCTGAGCTCTTCAAAAAGTCAATAAGAACTTTACCCAGGTCAGTCTGGTCACCCGACTCAGAGGCTGTTTGGTTATTACGGATTGCTTTGGTATAAATGTGGTTTATAGCACGTCTCTATGAAGTGTAATGCTTCACAGGGAGCAGCATGTTGACCATGTACCTTTGCTCCTGGCAGAGTTCATCACCCTAATGTCAAATGATGTTCACCCCGTCCCTCCCCACACCACGGTCAGCTTCAGCCTCACAGAAACCCTTTTGATCCTCCAGTGAATAAAACTTTGTCCCATCACATCTAATGGGGAAGGAAAGCGACTTCTCGCATGTAAAGCACTGCCAGGGAAATCAGACCACAGCAGTGGGTGTCATACACTGCTGAGAAGACAAGACACAAGTTTATATGGTATTTTACACAGTCCTTGGATTCTTCACAACTATTAGGTACAACAAAAGCGAAAGGCAGGGGCAAGCTGGAGCACGGCAGCAGTGACTATGGTCTGTCTGCCGTGGCTCAGTCTGACCCGTGTTCTCCCTGCCTGTACCTGAACGCTGCTGCCGGGTCCAAATACCACGTCAGCAGAAACTCCCTGGCACCTTTCAAGCCCGTTCCAAAGAGCCAAAGCAACGCCCAAACCACTGCTGATGGATTTAGAGAGGGAAATGGAACAGGACCCTACGCCTGCGCCTTCTGAAACACGGCTTGGTACATCCAAGCAACCAAACTCAGTCCTGCTACAGAGATGCAAAAAGACCCCAACAAAGGGAAACCCAGATCTAAATCCCTCCCTTTTCCTCCTTAACTCTTTTCTATAGAGACTTAATTAAACATACTACCATAATTATGTCATTAGAATTACATACATTTATTGTACAAAGATATGTATTTAAAGGCGTCTGATCAGCAATGTGTTGGCCTACATACATAAATCAAAACCTTCACTTTATGGCTTTTCTTCTATCAGTCAATCTAAACCAAGAATGGAAGTGAATTCCTCTTTGAGCACTCCCAAAGCCAGTGCACAGCTGGATTCAGCTGGAACCGGAATGGGTGAACAGATGTGAAGGGCTTTTAGTCTCACTTTGCAGATGTGAAGAGGCACTGATAGCTGAGATCAACATCCATATTTTTAGATATTCCAACTAAACCACAGCTGGCTTCCGCACTGGATGAGAAAAGCTCTCTATACTGATAACACCTCCTGTTTACATTTTTCCCTTCCCTTCTTACAGCTACATCTTCTCTGTTCAACTTTAAACAGAAACAACTGGGTTCAACTCCATGTGTCCTGCAGGAACTAAATCTTCTCAGATGCAAACACACTTCAGTTTGAGCAATGTTTTATACCTCCCAAACAGCACCAGGTAACCTTGAAGTCACAGGGAAGGCTTCCTGTGTACTTAAGGTGCACATTTAAACCCATAAAGTTTTGTCTTCTCTCTACCCAATTAAAATCCCTGTTTCTAAGCTTTTTTCCCTTAGTTTAGCCAACACTGTTTTGGGGGTTAGGGATCAGGACCCATTATAATGGAGTGAGTACTTCTACAAACCACGATTGTAAGGGGTTTATTCATAAAACACTCCCAGGTATGCAAGTCCTAGGTCTAAACAAGAATCATTCTCTGCTCTGATTCAATGCCTGCCGCACTAATAACCAGCGATTCCCTGCCTGCTGACCCCTGTTCCTGTTTCTTCATTAGAGGATGACAGAGTTCACTGAGGGCATCTGACAAAAGCCTTTCAATGTGTCACAGAGATTAGAATAAAGCATAGCCTAGGAGGGTAAAACGTGTCCTCCTTGACTTTTATCAACAGCACAGTAGGCCCTGCCTGAGGGACAAAAGCACATCAAAGTGTTAAATCAAATAAGCCTTGAGAGTGGAAGAGAGCGGAGCAGCATCTGCTCAGGGAAGCTGTAAAGAGGGTTCCATGACACTGCCGAGAACAAAGGTGAGAGCATCGAGGGAAGAAGTCACAGCCAAGCTCCCAGTTAACAGAGACAACAACAGAGCTTCCAATCCCCACCAGTGCAAAAAGGCTTTCCTGGTTATTAACAGGAAACACGTTACTGAAAACCCCATCTGTGCACTCGCTGTTGTGTGCAGGGCCAGAGTCCCCGCTATGTGAACAGGGAAGGATGATGAGTATGACACTGTCCACTCCTGCTTTATGCTCATACTCACCCATGTGCTGTACCCCTACATCCTGATTTGTGTTTGAAGTTCTGAGGAGCCCTTAAACAGCCTCTCTGCTCACACTGCAGTGCTACTGGAGAGGCTTCTAGACACTGCCATAGGACAGACAGATCATAGAAGCATCACAGAATGGTTTGGGTTGAAGGGACCTTAAAGCTCATCCAGTTCTAACCTCCTGCCACAGGGTTCCTAATACCTAACCTAAATCTCCCCTCTTTCAGTTTCAGATGACAACCAGTAACAAAGCTCCTGCTCTCACAGGCACCCAGCTGCACGCTGCCAGCATCCCATGCACAGCCACCCGGTCCACTTCAAGCCTCCAGGCTCTCACCAAACACCTCACAGTTGTTCACACATGACAGAGTCTATAAAGAGCAACAACTGCAGAGAGCTGTATTTTCAGTCACCACCACTAGCACTCCCATTGCAGTCGTTTTGCAGTCCCAGCCCTTTTTGTTCACAGTCCTTGGCACACACATCCCACAGCAAGGACTGGAAGCTGGCAACAGCTCCTCTTCCCAAACATTCAGGGATCTACAAGTGTGTCCACATTAAAAGCTTCTCAAAACATGGGGCATTATCCAGCATTTTTCAGTGCCTGCACAACAGTGACGTTCCCCCCACAGCACACTCAAGTGTTGAAACACTGCTGCCGACACTTGACACCTGCAGGCTTGTCAGAATCCAACCAGCAGCTATAAAACATCCTCCAATGCCAAAGAAAAGTTGTCCCTTAATTACATCCCTAATTAGAGCCTCCACAGCCCCCTTCCCCACTCCTCCTTGGGATGCTGATGTGGGAGCTTTGTTCCCCACAGCAAGGGTCCCAGGAACATGTGCCAAGCAGACCTCCCACCTTTCTAATCGAGATCCTCACTCCACGCTCACTTCATAGGACTTTGCCAACCTTCCAAAGCAATGAGGACTGTTATGGTGCAGCTCCATCATTCTGACAGCTCAGCTCTTTCAGACTGGTTTTATAGGAAGCTAATGCCAGGGAGAGATTTGCTCACAATTGGTGTGAAAGTTGATCAGGAAAAGACAAATCCCCCAATTCATACAAAAGCATCTTCAGATACAAAGCCTCCCTGAAAAGAAACCAAGCCAAGAAACCCCCCCCCCAGTCATTTCTCTGCATATGCAGCTTCCACAGTATAAATCATTATACCTTAAAATATATATATACACACACACATAGAGAAGGTAACTTTGTTCATGCTGCCCTCACGGGGCTCATCCTTCTCAACAAGCTCACTTTATTAACCTCAATGAGAATATAACAGCAGTGTCAGAGCAAAAATCCGTCTCCACTAGCACTCCTGGTGTGAAACCTCTTGCTTTAAGTAGGAGAATAATGCAGGGGATTTAAATTTAGGCAATTCCCCGGGGAAAATCCCATCTCTGCTTGTTGAGCCTTCATTGTTCCCCCAGCTTTAGTGAGCATCTGCGGATGGGAATTAGGGTGTGCCTTGCAGAAGGGATATCATGCACCCTTCTGGTTCCCATTAGCAGAGAATGGTCTATTAAAACCTACTGAAAAGGAACACAGTAAAAGGAGAAGCTGGAGACCCTGCAGACCAAGTGTTCTTGTACACGTAGCACATTGGTGCACAAATAACCAAAGCTCTGGCAGAGGAAGGACCTAAGTGTAAAGCTTTCCTTAGATTTCAGGCAGCTGTAAATCAGGTCCTGGAGCAAAGTCCAGGAAGCAGCTTCCCCTAGCACCTACTAGGCATTTGAGTTCAATTTGAGCACATACTTCAACTCCATAATTGAGGTTAACCCAAATCACTCGGATTTGAGCACACTTCCTTTAAGTTAAGCAGGTGCTTAAGTGATGAAAGAGCTAACAACATACCCAAGAGCATTCCATGGCTGATGAGGCCGGCTCTGCTGATGCTGTGTGTTTGGACATCTGCAGTAGGAAAGGAAGGAAATTCCAGATGGATTGATGCCTGCCCCTCTGGCAAGCCTTCCTCCCATTCTCCATGGACAAGGACAACTCATGCTAGGCCAAATCACTTGTGATTGTTCCTTGATGCCATCAGCTGTACAATGCTACCAAAGACAGACTTCTGGACACTGGCATGGGACAGATTAACACCAGATACGAAGTTCCTCCTCTCTCTCTAGTAAGATCCAGGGTGATAATTCCTTTGAAACAACACCCCTACTCATTTTATTCCCTATCTCCAGCAGACAGCTCACCAAGAAAATGCTAAATGTACTTTAAGTTTTCCAGATCAGTCTCCCTTATGATTTTCTTAGTGCTTGCACCTGGAATGTCATGTACCTCCAACTACAGATGGCTGAATGGAGTTTCATTATGTGCCTGAACCCATCACATTACATTCTCTTTATGGGTATATTTTTGAAGCCAGAGCAGATACAAACACAAAAGCATCCACAGCTATTCACTGCCTCTGCATATAGCTGCATAACTTATGGGAAATGGGTGGAAGAGCTTGCAAATTCCCTTGCCTCTGTTGTTATCACAGCAAATCCCAGCTCTAGTAAATCACAGCCTCTCTGCTGCAAAATCCTTTAGTATTTTTAATGGCAAGAGGTGTGAAAACCCTGTCAGATTACCAGGTGTGTCCCACATCTTCTGCCTGCAGTTTGCCATCAATATTCACAATGGCTTTTGTGTGTATGTCTCTAATTGCCCATTAGCAATTCAGCAGAAAGAGTATTCCTGTGATGAGTAATCCTGCAACAATGAAGCAAAGCACACAGGCTAGCATTTGTGAACGATCCTCCCATGGTAGCACACTGTTAATCACCAGCCATCACACAGTCTGGTTAGTTTACTGTCACCTACCCTCTTCAGATCAAAACTCAATGACTCAATCAAATCCAAAGTGAATCAAAATGGAATGAGCTCAGTTACAAACACGGTACATGCTGTTGTACAGTTGCGGAGTTGACTGCAGGGCACATATGCCTTGGTTACTCTGTTCCTATGAAACAAACCAATGAGTAAAGCAGTGCTCCAAGGAAGATCCCTCATCCTGCCTCTCTGGGAGCTGTGGGAGCTGTAATTTTGGTGTTATTTAAGCAAGTCTCTGGAGGATAAGATCAAACACTAAGTGCATTTCCTTCTGCAGGGGAAGGCAGGGTTACCCCTGTTTCATGATGACAAGGGAGCACACAGCTTCTGCCCCTGAAACGCCTGTGAACTGGGTGTCACAACCTTCCTGCCCTTCTTCCACCCTTGTCCCTATAACTGTGCCCCTATTTTACATCCAGCTGTGCTCCAGACAAAGAAAACACGAAGGCTCAAGAAACCAATAGCCCTGCTAATGTGTGATGTTGAAAAGGCCTTAAAATCCTTCTGTAGGATGAGGTTATTTCACTTCTAATCCTTTTCAGTGGCAGTTCAGGACATAGTGCTGAGCTGTGCACTTTGGAGACATGCTTTCGACTGAAAATAACACACTGGGGGTTTGGGACGTTAAGTAAAGTATTATTATGACCACAGAAACACTATGGGCATGAAATAATACATTTCATGAGACCAAAATGCTCCAGCAGTTGTCCTTGCTTTACTCACGTTAACAAAACTCACTTATGCCCATACACATAGCCTGTTTCAGGTAGGAGGCCTAAATTGTTTGGAGAACAGGTAATGTTTGTGTTACCAAGAGACATGTTCTTGCCTGAGCACAGCTTAGGCTGAGAGAAGAAAGAGTATTTCTCTCTAAAGGGAAAAGTATGAACTAGTTTGAGTCCTGGTTTTCTAGAACTGGCCTTGTGGTTTCCAAAAGGCAGAAACTCCTGTGCTCAAACAGTTCCATATGAGCAATCCACACTAGGGTCTTAGACCAGCAGCTCAACAACCAGCTCTTTTGTCCATGGTAAAACCTGCACTGGCACTAGTTTAGTGTTAAAAACAAATCACCTTTCCACATTCTTCCTGTAACCAGTGTTTAACACACCACCATTAGAAGATTCTGTCTCTTTCTATGACTTCCCAAAGGAATCTGAAGTCAGGATCATGCAAAGGCAGCTCTGCTCCACCCACTGAGCAACTTCCATTCATTCTGAGCCAGTTACAGGTTGGAAAGGGTTAAATGAACAGACAGACCCCTGCTTCTAACCCACGGTATACGTATGACTTCTGGTTTTCTAACTGGAGGCAAATACTTTGGTGGGTGGAGAATAAAGCCTGCGATGGCATCTCCTGGGTGCAAGCATTCCATATTCTGGAACATTTTAAACTCAATGGGTGGCACCTATTAACTTTTCATTAAGCCTAGAAATTCCTGTCTGGCAACAAATGAAAAGACCAAGCTTACTTTGATGTACAGACTAGAGGCAAGAGATGGAGTTCTGTATTTACCTGTGTGCTTTGGGTCTAAAAAGATCCTCAGAGCCAATGTGCTGTAGTTCCACCAGCATAAAACACTCCTGCCGATTCAAGCCTAGAGAACTGTCCTGGGTTCAGCTTAAACCACGACAAGAATCAACTGGAATTATTGCAGAGGATTTTGGCCCAGCCCTTGCAATGTTAAAATACAAGACTCAAACTGCCCACACTGCAAACTCCCAACACATCCTACAGATAATCTGTTCTACCTTTACACGAGCAAACTTCAGCAACGGAGACAGCCCAGCCATGAGCGTAGAGGACTCAGCACTGGGTGATGTTATCCCTCTCTGAGCTAATCATCTTCTGGATCACAGAATAGTTCGGGTTGGAAAGGACCTTAAGATCATCACATTCCAACCCCCCTGCCATGGGCAGGGACACCTCACACTAAACCATCTCACCCAAGGCCTCGTCCAACCTGGCCTTGAACACTGCCAGGGATGGAGCATTCACAACCTCCCTGGACAATCCATTCCAGTGCCTCACCACCCTAACAGGAAAGAATTTCCTCCTTATATCCAATCTAAACTTCCCCTGTTTCAGTTTGAACCCGTTCCCCCTTGTCCTGTCACTACAGTCCCTAATGAAGAGTCCCTCCCCAGCATCCCTATAGGCCCCCTTCAGATACTGGAAGGCTGCTCTGAGGTCTCCATGCAGCCTTCTCTTCTCCAGGCTGAACAGCCCCAGCTTTCTCAGCCTAAAATCTTCTAGCATCTTCTAATGCTACAGAATGCATATTGGGAAAAAGAATCTCTCTGCCGTTTTACTGTAGGTTGTTCAGACCTCTTAGAAAACACTGAGCTTCAAAGCAATTATCAAACTGTGCCATTCAACTGGTAACAGCAAGACTGCAGACACAGCTCTGCAGAATTCATGCAGAAGCAGTTGTTGCTCTGAAAGATCACCATCAAAATCGTTCTTTCTACAGGAAAAAGAGGGGAAATGGGACAGGACTCACCATCCTCATGCCCTTCTCTGTTTCTCCGCCGATGCCTCTCTCGTCGGTGGCTGATAACTGACTCTGTTCCCGTTTCATTGTCCAGGCCGTCCCGGCTGCTGGCAGCATTGGGGCTGTTAGAGAACAAAGAGGAAGAACCACCGGAGTCATCTCTTCTTTTCTTTCTGATACAAACTGTTGCAGTCGTGAGCAGACTGAAGCCACAAACCCATGACACAGGTCAGCTGCAGTCCTGCCGCAGCACTGCTCTGCTCACCCCAAAACCACCTGAAGGGTGAACACACAGGTCAGGATCAATGCTCTGAGACACAGGTAGTGTCAGCATGACACTGAAAAGGCTGCCACAAGACTGTTGCATGAAACGTCCATAGGGAAAAGCCTGCTTACGGGCTAAGAGAAGGGATGGTTTTAACATGTGCTGAGGTGACAACTGACTACAAGACAGCTTCAGCTGCTAATACACCTGCAAAGGAAATGGGATTTCAGCACAGTCCCAAATTCATGCTATTAAAGCTATTTTAATAGCATAAATTTGCAGCTTATCTGCCTAACCCAGGAACAAGCAGGGTTTGGAAGAACAAACACTGGTGTTTGGAAGAACAAACCTTATTGATCCTCACACCCATCTCAGCCTCCAAAACACCCCAGGTTCCTGTGCATCAATCAAACCCTCCCATGCTCAACCTTAAGATCACAGAGCCAAGAAATACATATGTGTATGTGCTCTTCTAGTAATGCCAAGAGACAACATGCTCTATCAGGCGTTATTCTCCAGCCTGTGAATTGAACTGCCTTTTCTATAATAACCCATACCAATGCCGTTGTTTCAACTCACTTCCTTAAGTGCTTGCTCACCTCAAGCAGCTTTGCTTTCCTGACAATAACCCAAGCTGGCTATGCAGCCAAAGGGCAGAAGCTATAGCTCACCATGGCCACTTCTAATAGAGAGCACTGACCTTCAAGGTTGAAGTCCTACAAGTCCCAGCAAAGCTCAGAACAATTTAAGTGCACATCTGCGAAATGCACAAATCAACCCCAAGTCCTTTCCTCCTGTTCTCAACATGGGAAAGCCACACAGATACACCAGCACAGTATTAAGGTAGTAGTGAAGGGCTGTTATGAGCAAGTGAGCTTTGGGCACTGCAAGATCTTGACGACAAACTCAGTGGACACATCTCTTCCATGAAGGATTCCTTCTGTGTGAGGGCTCTCCTGAGGGTCACCTTCTCACTACTATAATCAAGAACAAAAGGTTTCAAAGAGGCAGCAGGGAATTTGTTCCTGTGGTTTAGGGCCACGTTCTGCTATGAATCCAAACAAACAGCAAGGACTGCTCCATATTCCTGAACTTCCAAGCACTGAGGAAGGGCCACCACTGCTCAGTTCATATAAACCAGAGTGCCTTTCACTTCCAATTCCAGGAGTCGAGGCAGCTAACCACGAGCAGTGGCTGTAACACAGAACACTGAATATGTGTGAACACTTACCTGCAACCATCTGCTTCAAGATCTCTGCTGAGGAGAAAACCCCAGTCATGTTAAAGCAGAGCTGGCTGGAGGAAAGGGGAAGATGGAGATGCTCTTTTTCCACCCCATTGAACAGAACTAGCTCAGCTATTTAGTCTTCCCCTCAGGCTCAATCTGTGCTATGTATCTCTGCTGTTCTGACACTGAGTAAGCTACCTTGGAGGAAGTAAGAAAAGCCTCTTGCAGTTCTGGCAAAGGCCACAGCTCATTTTAATGGACTAAATAGTGGAAACTGATTTAAAGCTCCTGAATATATAACAGTGCATGATCTGACACAGGCAGATGCTCTGCTGTGAAAGATCTCCTTTATAAAGGAGAGCTGCTTTACAAAGTATTGCTGGTCATACTCTTCCCATTTAAAAGGGAGTCCCAATTCACTTTTAGTTATGCCTGGCACGTCCTACTTCTGCACATAGAGTGCACAATGGCACATCATACTTACACCAAAGCACCAGAGTCATTAATGTATCTGTCCTAGAGCTCCAGGAGGCTGGAGTACGCTGCCATGCATGTTTTACACAGGGAATTCAACTACCAACTGGTCCCATGGGCTTCTGTGGAAGCTGGTCCCAGAACTGGTCTATGTGTAAGCACATGTGTCTATTGTCACGTTGCAGAGGTGCTGAAAAGCCTTCACACACCCACACTCTTCCTTTGCACCGATGAGATGCACTGACATGCCCACCACAGCACTTAAGAAATCCTGGTTGGTTTTGACTGCATATTTTAGGCCCCAGTGAAGCTACAAAAATACCAGTATTTAAGTGTTGTCATTTCTTGTTTCAGTCCTGTACAACTGAAAGAGGAGTGACAGCTTCTTCCTAAGGTCACCCTGCCAGGCTCTCGGGCATCTCAGCAGCACCACCTGGTGACTAGCTGATACCGTCCACTGCTTCCTAGGCTAAACCCGCCTACCAAAGGTGCTTTATACCCTAACAAAGGGGGCAAAGGAACCTCACAGCATCCTTGTTTCCCCTCTCCTTGCTGAGCCAATCAAAGTCAATTCAATTTTAGTGCACATTCCCAAGAGCTGTGTAGGAAAGAGTGGGGAGGACACTCCACTCTCTCATCCACATCCACCACTAAACCAGGGCCAGCTTCACCCATTCGGATGAACGTGGATTTAGCCAGCACTAAACAGAAGGAGTGGAGCATGAAACACAGGATGAGGTTCAGAACCCTCATTGAGGGAGGGGGAGAAGTAAATTTGCTCTGGATTTAATCAATGATGAAAGAAAACATTAATGCTGTCAGGCAGTAGTTGAGATTACTGCTTAACCTCAGGTAAGGATCTCATTGCCTTGGATGATGCTGACCTGTCTGCTTCATCTGTTCCTTGTATTCCTTGTTGTCCAGCAGCATTTCTGCTCGTACAATCAGACAGCAGCCAGCTCAGCTGGAGCTTCTTCTATAAATAAGTCCTGTATCACCACTGAAGGAGGACATGAGATGATAGATCTCTGGTAGTTTGAACAGCATTTAAAACCATCAGGGGGTTAGGAACCAAGAAGGTAAATCACACTGACAGAAGGGGAGGTAACGTGTGAGTATACAGCAATGCTGAAGTGACAGCTGTTAAAGTTATAAGGTTGCACAATGAAAAGACCTGAGGAGCTCAACTTATTTAGTTTATCCAAAAGAAACAACTCATTTCAGGTAACAGTGGGTTCTGTATCACTTGGAATCTTTAAACCTTGAGCAGATGTGAAATTCTAACAGCAAAACAGCATAAAGGGCTTCATGCAGAGTAACTGAGATCCTCTGCCTCTGTGCCATAGAAATAAACCTGGGGGATCATTAGGCTCTCTTCTGGATTGAAAAAACAAAACACAACACAACAAACCACAGCAAAACGTGAAGCCATTCAACTGGGAGCCTTCACAATTGTCATCAGTTCTGCCTGGCATGTCCTGCATGTCCATGGCATGTCCGTATGTCCTGGCATGTCCTATTATACACTGAGGGAGAACAAGTTTTAAAGCAGATCTCCCCACAAGGCAGATTCCCTATGGCAGTTCAAAACAAGGAAGAAAAAAGGGGTGAAGAAGAGAGAGAAGGAAGGAAGGTGGTTTATCTAGGAAAGAGAACACAAGCCAGAAAGCATAACCTCCTGTGTGGCTGCTCCTGACTCAGCATGACCTGTGTAAGTTACTTCACCCCCTGAGGAGTCCCAGATTCGCTGTGTTCTATGAAGAGCCCATCACTTGCAGCTCTGACTGATGCCATGAGGATACAGACAAGGTCTTTGGAATACCGGGGAGAAGAGCAGGTGCATGAGCAGAGCACAGCTTCGACTCCATCAGCCTGAGCACATCAGTTGATAGCAGCGAGTGGCTCCACAAAGCCAGGCTGGTGCCTACCTGACAATGCAATGATATTTTTGACTGAAGCTTGATTTTACAGCTGTTAATGTAGGTGTAGGTCAGGGAGACAAAGAACTACTTCTATTTGCAGCCACGTGACAGCACTCACAGGCCTCTCCCAGGCAGCAGAAAGCAGTTGCTGAACGCAGGAGGGCAGTAAAGCCTTTGCAAGACAAAGTGTTTGGCAGGGTTAGTATTTCCCAAGATTGCTGGTCCCCTGTAGAAGGCATTTATCTGTAAAAGACTCATTCACAACACCAAGGGCTCCTCCGGGCAATAGACAGCCCAGAAAGCAATGGACAGGCACTGCCACCAGGCAAATCAAGACCACGTTTCCTTCTCCAAACATCTACCAAGATCACAGCTAGAACCAGGCCCTGCTTTAAATCAGTCCTCTGTGTGTAAATTCAGAGGGTCTCCCTGAAAAGGAAGGTATTCCAAGGATATACATTGGTTCTGTACACGTACCAGGAAATGACAAGGCTACCATTACATCAGATTACTCCCAGTCTGGCTATCTGCAGGTCAAGCTGCACATGGAAGAGGCATTATTCCTTACGTAAATGCTTTGTTTTGAGATCAGTCTTGTGCTGGCTCTGCACACTACACCATTATACATAACACAGTAATTAGAAGTTATCATCTGTACACCACAAAAAGCATTTTGGGCTTCCAGTCTACTTAATTCTTCCACAGTGGGTTTCAAATGAGACCTATAGATTTCATTGTAACAATGACAGGTTGGGGTTTTTCTCATCTCCTCTTTAATTCCCCAGTTCTAACAAGCATACAAGACTAATAAACAGCTGCTTTGCAGCAGCAGGGAGAAATGGGGGATAGGGACAGGCAGGAATTGCATTTCTGGCTTTAAAATGAAATGAAATAGAGATGACAACTTGCTCTTACTGGAAAGAGGGAGGCCGGGAGTCTCCAATGCCGCCGGTTCTCTCAATGGGAGGAGGAAGGTCTGTGTGGCTCTCGGTGCACTGAGAGCCTGTGTCAGAGTGGGAGCTTTCAGCCAGGACCAGCTGTCAATAGAGAGAAGAGAATTAACAGTGGATAAAGAGGTTTCTGACCATTGCCAACAGAAGTTAGACTTCAGCTAGTGACCTAGAGGTGAGAAAGGTGTATATGCTATTACCAATCCCAATTAGCCATCTAAGTCTCTTTAAATAATATGATTATAAGGTCTTTAATTAAATAAATGCTCAAATAATTATACAGATTATTACCTTTCACTGAAAGGCAACTACGTGTCAGCTTCCCTCTATTTTTAGCTGTGGGAGAGCCAGCCCTATATAAGAGACTCCAACCATAACTGGTTAATTTATCAAGGACTAATTCTAATACAAGCATCACACAGATGGCAGCTGGTAAAGAACAGGACAGATAAGGAGAGGGGACAGCATAGGAGGGGATCCTATCCTTGAGGATACAGTATATTACTCCTAAGAGTATATTACACCATGAATGTGAGAAGGCAAACACACAGAGACTGTCAAAAAGGAACTGCCTGCAGACAGAACAGTTCCTCAGCACCACATGGAGCCAGCTGCATTATTCAAACTCTTATCACCAAAGCAAGAGTGACAGAGGAAACACCAAAGGGGAAAAGAACATGAGCTTTCCTAATAACTTGGTAATTAAAGCTTCTTTCCTCCTTTCAGGTGGGGAAGTTGACGGGAGACGGTTAGAAAACATGTGGATATTGGTTCTTTAGTGCTTCCCTGCTCCTGGAGGAAGCCTCAGCAATGCAGGACCTATTATGAAGGCAAACCCACCATACTGATGCAGGCTGCAGATCATCTCGGGAGTGCTGCTGAAAAGCAAAATCCAGTGCAACAAAGCAACTCCTTTGTGAATACTGCCCCTGGGCTGTGATTTCCTGAAGGATAAAGCACTGGGTACCCACTTCTTATTGATCTTCAGTGGGATTAGAGTCCCAAACAGCCTCAGACTACACCATTACCATTATAAAGGGAAGAGGGCTGCAGAAAGTATCCATACTAATCCATCAGGTGCATTCAGGAAACACACCACTTTAAACCTGGATCAGTTCACTACCAGATACAGTGAACGTGAGATATAGTCAAACACAAGATAAGATACCGGCAGTATCTCCCGTTTCCAAGTAGCTTGTTAATCCTAGACAAAGGTCTTTCAGGTTTCAAGTGTAAATCCTAAACACAAAAGCCCTGCTAATGCAGTGGCCAGTGCAGAACTTGTGGTGCTCGCCAAGTGAACGCAAACACCACGAAGAGAACCCGTGCAGTAGAAGACGGCACATGCAGCAGGATTGTTAAGCAGGATGCCAGGCTGGCTCTTCCCCAGCATCAGAAGGATCAGAAAGGCAGTGTAACAGCTCACAGTGGAATTCCAGACTCAGCTGGAGCTTCATAATGAGTTAGCAGCTCTGCCTCTTTCCAGCACCTCACAAAACACCTCCGATTTGATGAAGGTTTGACAGAAGAGGAGTTAATTCTGGGGGTGCACACTTACTGACACAATACACATGTCACTGCCGTGGCTACATGTGCGGGTATACACCATTCCTGCTCCCTGCTTTGCTGTGCTAGCAGGAGCTCCCCATTTCCTCCAACAAGGAGGATATGTAATGATTTACATCATGTAGCCCATCAGCTTTGAGGTAACTTGTGTCCTTTTCCTTGACGAGCTATGCTAGGAGTAAACCACCCCAATGTTACATCACTGAATGGAGCAGATAATGCACTGCCACATTCCAGCCTTCTCCCTGTGTTTCCATGAGAAAAGCAGTGTTAACCCCAGCTCCCTGGCCAGGAGCCAGCCTGATCACTGCGTTTCACCCCCCAGCTTCCCTGCAGTTTTGACTGGCAGCAGCGCTGTAATCCATTCCTTGCACTGGGCTGGTGCTGTGTGTGCTGTTCAGGAGCGTGCCTGGGGCTGGAAACCAGCTGCTGGGTTCCACCCCACTGCATTTCAGTGGGAAATGTGGACGTCTTCTTTGTGGCACACATGGAGGAGCTTAATAAAGAAGTGGGGAACTAATTGCAAGTGTTGATTCAGTTCATTCCACCACCCCAAACGCTGTTTGTTTTCTCAACTGAGGTCCTACCATCAACATTCCCTACTAAATCTTGCCGAGCAATTGGAGAAAGTGCATCAGCCCTGGCATGTTAGAAGGAATCCTATGTTCTTCTGATGTACCCAGCGATTCCCACACAGCCACTTCCAGTTCACAACAGCACAAACAGCAGTTTTGTGCTGCTGTAGCAGAACGTGCAGCCTGTTCATGGTGCAAAAGTGCCTGTTGCCTTCTGGATTACATAGGGAATGCTGCCCAGCACTGTCACGGATCTGCTAAGGAACAGTTATCCTGGAACTCACTTGCAGAAAGAAGCGTTCAGTTCATTGTGTCAACACTGCTCACTTCAGCAATTGGACTTCTGATGTGAAACCCTAGCACAGGAACAGCAGCAAACTTCACACCAGCCCATTCTGCTTATTGTAAGCAAATCCAAGGGATGGAAGGGCAATTAGGAAGGGGATGGATCTCAAACACAGGCCAGACTGAAGCTCCTCAGTCAGAGCCTAACAGTGGCACCAAGCTAGAGAACCCTCAGAGTGTCAGAAGAGCTCTGATGTCTTCCCATTACTGCACCTGATCTCCAGCAAGTCCTCACATCCGTAGCTCAAAGGGGAGACTGAGATGAGCTCTTAGGCAGAAGCTCTTCCCTGTGAGGGTGCTGAGGCACTGGCACAGGGTGCCCAGAGAAGCTGTGGCTGCCCCATCCCTGGCAGTGCTCAAGGCCAGGTTGGACACAGGGGCTTGGAGCAAGCTGCTCTAGTGGAAGGGCTCCCTGCCCGTGGCAGGGGTTGGAGCTGGAGGAGCTTTAAGGCCCCTTCCAACCCAGACCAATCTGGGATGCTATGAATCATAGCAAGAACTGCCTTTGACAGGGCTCACAGACATCTCAACAGCTCACAGGCATTAGGCCAGCTCCAGGAACCAGTCTGTTCAACATGGATGGCTGAAGGCACCAGCCAACAAGCACCAGTCTGGGAAAGGGAAAGAGCAAACATTGGTACATTCTGCTCTCACAGTCTCATCTGGCTAAACACTTATTAGTCTATCAGCATGAAAACTACAATATGTAAATGCTGTTACTGAGAGCAGCAGCAGCTCTTGGTATCTCTCATACAGCCACTAAAGAAACAGCTCCAAAAGCCATTTGTATCTTTGACAGCAACTTCACAACAGCCACATTCATCTCCAAGTTGAAAGTCATTATTCCCTATAAAGGCACAGCCATCTCAAATCCCAAGTCAAAGCTTCAGAGCCATTATCCACTTCCCATTAGCCACACGAGGGCTGCTCCCGAAGGCCCAATTGCACTAAAAGACTTACTGATGAGGCTCTTTGTTCCATGAGGAATTCTGTCAAAAGACAACAGGACTCCACATTGCTGGAAGGGCTTCGAGAGCCTATTGGGAATGTGCTGTTTATTTTAATAACAAGGAATTATCTATGCCAGGTAGATCAGGCTTCCCCCTTTTATCCTGCATGTTGCCTGTACAGTTGTTTGGGGTTTCCTCCAACCATGGACCAGGATCAACCTCCCACAGCCTGAAAGTCAGAAGCTAAAAGGCTTTAAGAAGCCTGTGGCTGCCAGGTAAAGGGTGACCCACTTCAGTGTTCCGAGATGGAAAGATGCAGACTGGGTTTCCAAATCAAACTGCACCTGTACACGGCACAAGGGGAAAGAGAAGGTGGAAGATGTCCCTGCCCCTGGCAGGGGGTTGGAAGTGGATGATCTCGTGGTCCTTTCCAAGCCAAACCATTCCATGATTCTACGATTCTATAACCTCCTTCTTAAAAAAAAGGATGCATTTTCATGCTTCCTATTATTTAAGGAGCTGAGCAAAGAATACAGTTCTCAGCTTGAGATCAAATGACCTCAGGTTTTTGGTTGGGAGGGGGAAGAAGGAAAAGGTTAAAGAACTGGGATGTAAATGGGAATGAAATAATCCATATCCTTATCCATGTGGAACAGTTTGGGGTCAGGGATTTGGCTGTGCTTAATCTCCAAGAACACTGAGGCTTGTTGGAACAACTGGAGTCATATTTTGCTGCACACAAGAGCCCCAATAGTGTGCAGAAGTTCAGAATGAATCATCCAAGCATGGAACCACCAATGCAGAAGATCAGCCTTTAACTAGACCACACAGATAAAAACAAACACCACCATGCTCCTGAGTGCATTGGGAGGAAGAAGCTCAGCTCAGGGATGTAGCAGGCAAGCTGAAACCCACAAGCCTGGGTTTTGAATTCATATCAGTTCAAAAGCATGGGAGAAAGGGGAAGAAACAGGGAGGGAATGACACTGAGGAATAAAAACAGTCCAATTGTTACATACTAAGAAGCAGGAAGAGGGTTCTCAGGATTAATTTGCTCCTCTGATAAGAGCTACTGCTCATTCTACCCCTTTGCCTTCAAAACAGACGCTGCTCTCACACTATGGCAACATAAGTGACATCTTTATAGCCTTTATTACGTGAAGCTTTCAGGATGCTCTCTTCAGCTTGTTAATTACACAGGAGATCCCTTTTTGTACCATCTATTCCCATCCCATCAGAAAGCCATGCTATAGCCCACTTATCCTTGGGCTGAATGCAAACCCACCATCACCAAGCTTCAGAGCTCAAGCAGAGCCTGAAAGTAACATACTCAGCAGCATTGAGCCCTTCAGCCATCTCCAGCTCCTCAGAGGATTAAGGGCCTCACACCACACCAGTGGCCATTAGCACCTATGTTCTGCCATGGCTTGCAGTGAACCCCATCACATGTCCAATTCCTGCACAAGAACTGACATAAGCCAGCAACCTCATTAAGAAAGAGCCTTGTGCTGTCTCCCACAGTATTCAAGTGACCATCAGGTCTCAAAGGCCATGGCTGTTTGTCTGTATAGTTAAGCATTATTTCATTCTCTAATGAAGATATTTTATCCTAGAGAATGAACACTTCTAACAACCACTTTACTCCTCAATGGAGCACAATACACAGGGATCATCCCCTCTTTGGGAAGGCAAGTAGGCAGATCCCTGTTGGTTCATTTCTTCCCCTTGAGCACTGCCCAGCAGCACAGGTCTCTATCGGCGTAACTGTGCTTTGAAACACTCATTGATTTTCAAATCAAGGCCTTTAGATACCTAACACCCACTGCTGAATGGAAATACACAGCTCTGGAGGTCACCCTGGTTATTAGTCAGCTATTGCTATCGAGTCAAAAGGTTGGGGCCCAAAGGCCAAAGAAGTACCTTTTCCATCTGGATGCATTTCCCAGTGACGAAACAGGTAGCTTTCAAAAGAGCACAAACCAAAGGGAAAACTTTATCCCAAGTTTTTAACACCTCAATTTCATATAAAACCTAGTAAGCGCTTCATACTCTGTACACCTTTGGGTGCGCAGGAGGACTAAGGTTAAGCCTATGCATTACAAAGCTCTGGCTCTACTTGCCTAATACTCACAACCTGTTGGGACTACCCAGCTGCCAGAGTCCGAGTGCCTTAAGATTAAAAGCAGTCAATAGAGCAGAAAGCAGTTGATCATATTAAATGATAAAGCTGAGCTCAATTCATCTGCCAGCCCTTGCCCTCACATCGGCAACATTTTCAGCTGCTTAGAACCCAGCAGGGGCTGTACGTGATGAACCACACGGCATCATTACTTAAGAACACTCTCCCAATCAAACTGATGTTTCAAAGATACATTGCACTATCCTTACATAATAGTAGCATGCACACGTGCACTCTACTGTGAGCAGCAGCATGCAATCAATACTGTATTTGATTGCACAGGGAAGGCACATGTAATCCTCATGTAAAATGTAAGCCTTTGCTTCCATTGAGACTCAAGACACTTCTAACAATCAGGATGCATGGAACCAGCTACCCTGCCACTGTGCCCACGGTATCAAACCACATATACACACAGACACAGGAACCAACATACCCAGGACACCACTCTTCCATTGAAGCAAGGGAGCTTTGCGTTGTCATCTGAGATCTCCTCCTTTACCACCCTGGAAAGAGAAACAGGAAGAAAATGAAGAGTTTGCAATGACATCAGCTCAGAAGGGGCAGTGGTTTCTTAAATGGGCCAGGAAAAACACTAGGTTTTGATGCCATTTTGCTATCAGCAAATCTTCTATCTTTAAAGAACAAATACTCTACAGACTTGCTGATAGCAAGATGTTTATTATGTGTATGAGCTAACAAATAGTCACCCAACTGCAAAAACACCAGGTTTGCTCTTCAGTACAAGGCTTCACTACTACACACTGATGTGACATTCTTTCTGTTACCTAAGGGCTCCAACCAGAACTGGGAACAAGGAAGCACAGAGGAAAGCTCTTCAGATGGGGACTGTCTAAAATGGGCAGAGAGGGGATGCAGTGGTGTTTATACCAGGTCAAACAGGAGATCTGTAGCAGAAACACTCTGGCCTCAAGTCCCCACACAGAACAGGGACAATTTGGCTTTTACCATCTCGAAGCTTGAAGGAGAAAGCCAACCTGAACGAGTCAAACCCAGTGAAAATGTGTGGTTCCACAACCACATTTTCCTTTATTTATGTTGTTGTGTTTCTTGTTGCTGTGTAAAAAACCCACAATAGCCACAAAGCAACTGACTATGCATGAAACAGTGGCATACTGGGGGCGGGGGGGGGGAACTGGTTATGAAGGAGAAGAGAGGAGAGCAAATAGACAACGAGTTTCCATCCTACTTTTGGTAAAGGAGGAGTAACTCCCAGCACCAGCAATACCTGCATTTGCACTAAAAGAAGGAATGAACATTCTCTTCTGTCTCCACATGGATTTGCATTGTTAATAGCTAGCAGCACAGCCTTCACCCCTTTCCTACTATTGGAAAGAAAAACAGTTTGGAATATTCATTTAATTCCCAATGCATCTGTCCTGCCTTCACCTTTTGGCACCAGGAAACACATCGTATGATGCCATTACTGGTTCTAGTCATTTATACCTAGACTCTGAAGAGGCAATTAAAGTAAACTCCATTGAAATCAAGCTTTCAAAACCTTTGACAAGCCAACGAAGCTCTCAGACCTGTAATTCTGGAGCTGCAAACGCTGCGTGCAGACAGAGATTTCCACATTTGCTTGGATCTCCAGCTCCAATGCATCAAATTGGATTCAGACATTCCCTTTTGTGTTTCAGGGAGCCCTGGAGAGAACACTCAGCACAGATCCAACTGCAGAACCAGCAAAGAAAAATGCTGCAATAACACTATCTTGTCAGCTCTATGTTTTAAATGACAGCATCTTCCCTGTCCACCCCATAAGGAAACATCACTTACTGCATCCCAGGGATCAGATGTAATTCTGCATCGAGCTCTAAGAGTGAGGCAAAGCTCCAGCATTAAAACCATATTGATTTTGAGGCTCTCTGCAGAGGAAAGGCCTGGTGGGGGGGGTGTCTTTCTAGCCCCAACACATACAGTGGTAGTCCAGACAGCCCTGCAGTACTGCCCAGACTGGTTCAGTTGTCTTCGCGGTGGAAGACAAGCGCGCTGAAGTCACCGCTTCCAAAGCGATGTGCTCTATCACAGCATTAGCCTTCTGCTAAAGGGAACAACTTCCAGATCTGTTGCAACTTGAACTACTAAATATAGCCTTGAGCTATGAGGCAAGAGAATGACTGACGGTAATTCCCAGCTTGCTTTGGGTAGCAATCAACAGTGCCAAGAACATCAAAGACAGCAGCAGCCACCAATTTCAAATATCACTGTTTTACAAATCATTACTCGTAGTAAAGAGGCAGCTCCTTTCAATTCTCAGGCAGAAACAGAAAGGAATATATATGAATGGCTGCAGCCATAGACTGCAGTTTGAGGACAACTTGTATTCAAGAAGATGTGTTTTGCTCTACAAGAACCCAGAAGCAAGGGCAGAGGGAGACCCATGTCACTGCTCTTTGGAACACACATGGTCCATTAGGAACTAATACAGCAGCTTAAGACCAGGGTGGATAAGGCCTTAAATAATGGATTCACAACCTGGAACCAATCTAGCATGGCAAGGAAGAAAAGGTGATGGGTTTCATTTGCCAGAGACCTCCTAGTGAGATGAAGTACTGGTATTGGATGGGGTCCACTGTGGGATACCAGCGCTCTCAAATACAAGTTAATGGACTTACTGCTTGATAATAAGAACAAAGACCATCTGATACCAAGAAACACATCATAGAATTAAAGCTTCCCTTCAGAAGAGGGGATATTTGTTTCCTAGGTCACATCCTGCCTCCTGGCAGCACTGTGCCTCTGTAATTGCTGGCAGGGCTGGAACACATGCGGTCTCCATCCCAGCACACGCAATCTTCCACTTAACCTGGGTTATGAACCACCCTGAGAAAGAGAAAAGAGCAAATAAACACCTATCCCCAAAGCCCTTTCAAAGCTGCCACTCAATGAACACCAACAGGAACAGAACAAACCAGTCATTTCCAGGCTCATTCGGGTCATGATACCTCCCAGCAGCAGGTCTGCCCCTACTGCCATGATGTGTTCGGGCTGTACATAACTCCCTTTTGCAAAGGGGAGGGAGGGGAGACTCTGCCAGCACACCAACAATTCACCTGAAGACTTTTCTTCACCATAAAATCCTGATGGATGTGATATTAGACCCTTTATTTCACCCCTTAAATGCATCTACCAGGTAAAAGAGCAACACAGGGGAACAACTCACCGAGAGCCACAGAGTTCATCAGTGATAGACCATAAAGAAGACCCCACACTCTTGAATACCCCCAGGTACCTGCTCTACATCACCAGCAAGCCCTCACCATCAAACCTCTCATGACCACAGTGTGCACTTAGGGAGAGTATGTGCAAGAAAGGGTGTGGATGCGCGGGGAAGGGGGAGGAGGGACCAGTTCTCAGCAGCTCACATCCTCTGCTTTATTTGACTTAGAGGAGATGTAAGAACTAATTACCAAATGAAACAATCCCTGCTGGTAAGAGCCCCTCCTTCCTCTCGCTTCCTGGAATTGTGTCTGGCTCCTCTGGCTTTGCTTCCACCCTGCTCTGCACAAATAGGTGTTTCTGCGTTCACCAGGCCCAGTCCTGCTCACTGTCTCACACCTCACCTGCTTCTACAACAGGTTTACAATCCCGGTCACCCTCCCAGTATCCTTACTTCTTGTCTTCCTCCAAAGAGGATTTCAGCCAAGGATTTAGCCTTACCCTCACTCTCATCCCACTCCCAAGCTCTTTGCTGCCTCAGAATACAAGCTGACTGCCCATTAAGGTAACACCGAGTGAACCCCACAAGCCTCTAATGACTCTGATTCATAAGCGTTTAGGCAATTGGATATTAAACATGGGGTTGATAGCGTTGCACACACTTGCACTCTGATTGCATCATACGTGCCTGTGAGACTCAATCGCCAGAATTAGCCAGAAGATTTCTGGTTTCTGCTCAGAAGAATGAGGTTAACAAGGGAATTCTCTGCTTCATTCACCAGTTGCAAGCCCAAACCTCCAAGGCCCCATGCATGGGAAATGCAGGGTTGAGACAGCAGCGTGGCCCCTACTGATTCACTCCAGGTTCATGTGTACCATGCCACAAAGTGCTCATCCTAATGTACATTAATCCCTTCTTGTCACTGTGATCATACTCAAAACTTGCCTTAATTTTCTTATTGTCCTTTACTGATGGGGGAAAGGGGAGGGGAGCTTCATTCCCTGCTTCTTATAACTTGCTTGGAGATCCCTATAGAGAGAAGGCAAAGTAATTCAGCTATTTGTTCTATACATGATCTTCAATGACTCCCATCACCATAGAGGCAGATAAGAAATTATTCACATCTTAGTTCTGACTCACAGAATCATGTAGGATAGATGAGAAATCCAGGGATCACCTAATGAACCTCCTGCTCGCAGTAGGTTTAGGCTACTCAGGGCCAAGTCCAGTCTAGCTTTGAGTACCTCCGGGGATGGAGGTTCCACAACCTCTTCAGGCTCCTTGTGAAGCATCACTTTTCCCCAAAGCTGTTTAAATTAGTAAACCCATAAGTAATCCTAATTGCAACAACTTAACTGGAAGCCAAAGCTGCAGCTCTAAAAATAGCCTTTCTGGGGCTGATTAACATTTCAGTCTGAATCTTTAATGCAGAATTAAACCTTCAGGCTTCTCCTAGCTGAGGTCACAAGAGAGCCTTTAGCCAGCCTTCCAGCCCAGAGAAATGAGTGAAAATAAAGCCAGCCACTGGATTTGCAGGTGAGGCTTGGCAAGGATGTAAGGTTTATTCTGGAAATAGGGAAGAGAGGAGGAGAAATCCTTTTGCAGAGCAGATAAACACCACAGTGCAGTGCAGCACAGAAGGGCTCTGCTCAACACAAATGATCCAGAGCCTCCTGTGATGGCTGCAAGCCTCAGATCTTGCCTGCACCCCACTGAGCTGGTGAGCAGGGAATGATGCTGAAGCATTCCGAGGCAGAGCTACGGTGCTTCCCTACGCAAGGCTCGTGCCAATCACTCCTCAACATACCACAGGGTCAGAGCAGAACCAGTGCTCTCCTTTTTAGGCTGCTATTCCCAAACAACACTGACAATGCTCTGCCTTTCCATATATGCACTTGGGTACAGCAAATGCCACATAAACCTGTCAGAAATGACTACAAACACGCTGCCCACAGTTATGATATCAGTGACACACCCAACCACGGAACAAACCCCTCCTCACACAAAGAAGAGGCAAGAAACCATGTGCAGTGGGTGCTAGGGAAGTCATCTCGTCCTGCATAGGTGATAAATGCACTGAGAAACACTCTCTTCTTCTTCTTCTTCATGTATTAATCAGCTGCTCTGTCCCACGTTATTCTTATGACTTAAAAATCAAAGCACACAGTGGTAGTGATTCTGGCTGCAGTTAACAGTGAATGCATTCATGTATTTATATATACACCAGTTATCTTCTGCCACATCTCATCTTTATCATCACCACACTAAATACTTTTGCCCACATAACTGCCTCTTCCCTGTTTTTTTCCACTCCACCTTGAT